TAATATTGAATACTTTTTTTAGGAGTAATATTTATAAGCAATTCTTGATTCAATTATTATTAGAATCAATATAAATAGGGCGACTTTTTGCTTTTCAGCTCAATATATTAAAACAAACTACTTTATAATTAAATTAATAAATAATTTGGAAATTGAAATCAAATAGAAACTCTATTTATCTTATTTATCTTTGATTTAGTATTTTTATTAATATAAAATATTCTAGGTTTTTATAATTAATAATAATCTCGAATAATTCTTGAATACTATATAATTCAAATTTCTATTTCTTTAATAACTTAATAATAATAAGTAATTCCTTATTATAGATTTTGTAATTATATTTAATAATACTATATTTCAAAAAGAAATAAGCTATTAGGTATAGGCAATCTTTGTTATTATATTATAAAAGTATATTACCTATAGCTTAATTTGAAATATTCATTTTGATAATTATATAATAATAATAATCAAATATTATAAAAACTAGAATAAAGATAAAAATATATTTCAATATTTTGAAGATATTCTTTTAGTTAATAATTTAATTCTATATATTCTCTTTTTTCAATAAACAATTTAAAGGTTTTATAATTTTAAAGAAGTTTTTGATAAAGTATTAATAAAAATTAATAAACTCTAGAAAATGTTAAAAATCTTTTAATTTAATTAACAACTTCTATTCAAGAATAATCTTAATTTTATTAAAATTTATTTCTATATTGTTAAAAGTAATAATTAGATTGAAATATTTTATTCTCTTTGTTTCGAATTTATATTTATTAATATCGATTTGTAATCTAATATTAATAAACCTCTAAACAATTTTGCAAACTTGTTTTCAATAATCTATAATATTCTTAAAATAAATCAAAATATTGTTTAAATATATTATATAGTTTTTATTTAAGAAATCAAAAAGAATATAATTAATATAATTCTGAAACAAAACAAAAGTATTACAAAAACTGAAGGGTATTATTAGGGATTTAAATAAATTAAAGCGAATTATAAAAACAATTTTTTATTTGTAACCTTTTGTAATTCATAATTTATTAAATATAATAATAATATTCAATTTAATATAAACCTTAGTGTAGTATAGGGTATTAAGGATTTCTTTAATTAATAGTAGTGGATAATAGTTTTTAATAATAATATTATTAAGTTTACAATAATCTTAGCAAATTCGAATGTTCCTTTTTAGTTTTGTGGTTAGGAGGAATAGAGTAGTCAATCGAAAACAGGATTTATAAATAAATCCTTTATTTAGATTATTATTGAGTTATTTATAAATGATTTAAAGCTCAGCTAGGGATATTGGGTAGTCTTTATTATAAGAAAATTCTTTGCCTAATATTATTTTAATTTTATAATCCCAAAAGTATTATAATAAGAATTTGTTAGCAAAGAAGGGAAGGAAATTAATAAATAGATTATAAAACTAGAATAATAGTTTACTTTGAATTTTTATTATAAATAATATAAATTGATTAATCTTTTCCATAAATTTCTTAATATCATTTTTTATAATACTACAATATAATTAAATAGAATTATTTATTATTATATAATATAATTTATAAACTCTATTTAATTTGTTTTAGATTATTTTTGTAATATAAACTTTCTAATCTTTATAGAATTGAATAAAGCTATTAATTATAAGAAACTTTATATTATTTATTTTCTATTAGATATTTTGTAAAATATTAATTGATTCTTTTGATAAATCTAATAATAATAAAATATTTAGTAATAATAAAATGTTTTGATTTTATAGTAATCTTTTATATATTCTAAAGCTAATAATAATCTATATTAAGATTAGTTTTAGGATTAATTGATTTAATATTATTTTGATATGAGTCTTAATTTTTCTATTAATTAAATAAATATAATTATAGTTTTTGTTAAGTAATACAAAATGAATAAGATTTATATCTTTTGGGTTTCTTTTTATAAATACTGAAATCAAAGTGATAGATTCTAAAAGTACTAATTGATTTTGAAAAAAAAAAAAAAGTTTTGAGATTTTTATTAATAACTTTTTTAATAAAAGCTTGATATAGAATTAAAGAAATAGTTTTCTTTAAAATTGATTTTTTAATAAATATATATAATATTAAATTAAATATAATATCTACTAAAATCGATATATCATTACAATTAAGAATAACAATTACAATAGAATTAATTAAATAATAATATCTAAAATAATATATAAATATAAATTTGAGGATTATTATTATCCAATTAATAATAGAATTATAATATTAAAGCTATAGAAAGCTAAGGATTATAGAATCTGTATTGAAAAGGTTAGTGATATAATGTAAATTAGTTTCCTTATAATTATTAATTCATATATCTAATAATATATATTGAAAAAGAATATTAGAGATTCTTTTATTTATAAGTAATAGATTTCGAGTGATAAGAAGAGGGTGTATAAAGATATAAAGCTTGAAAATAAGAGTTCTATTAATAAACCTATATCCTGTAGTGCTACTATCTATTAAGCCAATAAACAAAATAATTATATTAGATATAAGGAAAATTTTTATTAAGATTTTAAGAGATTTATTATTTATTGTTTTAAGATATAAAGGATCTTTAGATATAATTGATTTCTTAATTTATAAAAGTAAGTTTTTCATAAAGAATCTTGATTTGCAATTATAAATCAAGATTACTCTTTTAATATATCTAATTAAGGAATTGAATTTCTATTATTATTTGAATATATAAAGTCTTTAATAAATCCATTTAGATTTATATTACTAATAAAAACTAAAGAAGTATATTGGAATAATATTATAATAATTAGGAATGTATTTTGGTAAAAAAGAATATAGGTATTATAATAAGATTTGGGATTGTGATAATAATTTGTAATAAGGAAATAATGAGTATTTAAAGTATATTGATTAATAGTAGAAAAACAATTGGAGTATAGTATAATTTCTGAATTGATATTATATTTTATATTATTGAGTTGCTTTTCTTTATAATTGGTTTTGATATAATTAGACTTCTTGTAGTAAAGATATAGGCTAAAGTTAAGGTATTAATCTCGAATATAATATAATAGAGTTTGCTGACTTTGACAAACAGTATTTAACTATATAAAATCATTAAAAGAATTAAGTATAATAATTATAGAAATAGTAATAGGCTTTTTTTCATTAAATTTAAATTAATTATAATTAAAGTTAATACCTTAATTCTTATACTAATTATTGAAATAGATTTTTTCTTCTAAATTGTTATAGATTCCTTACTACTAGATTATTTATATATCAATATCAGCTATTAAAAGTTTATTAGAATAATTAACCAAAATATTAATTAGTTTTTATAAAACCTTAAATTTGAGATTAGTAATTTATTATTTAGTGATTTTCTTGTATTTAATAATAAGTTATTTGAATTCAATAATAAAGTTATTAAATGATATCTTTTTTATTTTATATTTGTTATAATTTATAGAAACTTTATAAGAAAAATCTAGGATCTAATATTGTTTATTCAATTTATATTAGATACTTATTATAATATATTATTCTAAAGACTAAAGATTAAAGTTATATAGATTATTAGTAATTATATTAAAGTAGATTTGATTATTTGTATAGACTAAGCTGAAGAGTAGATTAATAAGAAATATAATCTTTTGAAATTCTAATTTATTCTTATAATCTGTAATTAAGTAATAATTAATTGTATTACAAAAAGCTATATATTAATTTTGATATTTTATAATATCCTATTTATTACTATTAAACTTTTCAGGAGTAATAAAATATTTATAATAAAATAATATTTATAGGTTATTATAAATAGTAATTTTTAATGTTTCAATTATATTTTTTAAATCGATAATTTTCAATTGAGTATTAATAGCTTGGGCTTATATTATAGTAGCTTAAGCTTATAATAAACTAGTAATCGATTTGATTGATTTAAATACTATTTGAATAGTAGTAAAGTGTATAGTATTTGGATTATTAAATAGATCTATAAATAAAGAAATATTAATTTTAGTAGAGTTAAGAATGTAATTTAAGAAAAGGAACTATAGGAATAGATTGGGTATAGATATTTGATTATTTATTTTTAGAATATTTTTATAATTATAAAACAATCTTATAGAGTTTTTAAATAATAGTAGTAGGATTGTATAAAAGATTAATAATAAGAATAATTGATATAATCAGAAATGACTTTAATAGAATTATTTAAATAAAGCTGTAATAGTTTTCTTATTAATAATACAAATTATCAAAATATAGATAAAAACTTATATTATATTATAAAGATAAAAGAGCTATGAAAGAATAAGGCCCTATTTATAAGAAATAGGGTGTACTAGTATACTATGCCTGAGGCACAAAGGCAACTATAGATCATATAGTTGACGCCGTGATAGCTTTAGAAGTAATTATTTATTCTAATTATTTAAATAAGATAAAGATTTATATAAAGGAATAGGTTTTAGTATAATATAAAGCTTTATATTTAAAAATAATTATTAATTTTGATATTATAGTTATAAGAATTACAATTAGTTATAATCTTATTAAATTCTTATTTGAAGTTTAATCTAAATTATTTTGAGAAATCTTTAATCATTTCTATATAACTCTAGAGGCAGCTTTTATAACATTATATATATTCTTACTAAACCAATAAAATCATTAGCATTCATTTATTATGTAATAGATATATCAGTGTTTTAGTTGAAATGGAAAATAATGAAACTATCACGAAAATATAACCCGATTGAGACTAGTCGAACTTAGACTGCTCGTGGGTCGGGACTGGTCGGTAACCTCTTTACAAGCTGTGTGTCCTTAAGAAATACTACAAGAACCGGCATCCTTATAGAGAGGTTTTACTGTACAACACAAGGGAATCATGATTTCATAGCAAGCGCACATCTAATCTCTGCTTGACATGGAAACATAATTCAATCAATTCTTATTCATGGATTCTCAAAATAACTCTCTTCTTCTCATCTGCACCTCTCCTTTCATGTTCGGCATCACGTTTGTGTCAGTATACAAATTTGCTGGCCTTCCTTCTCCCGGTTTAAGTCTCACGTCCCATTTCAACAACACCTCTGCAAAAGCAATCTTGATCTCATTGCTTGCAAAGAAGCGCCCAGGGCACGCATGGGTTCCTAATTCATTATTCGATAAGCATAAATCAAAGGATGTGTCGAGATGTATGAAGAACGTACCGTGCCCAAAGTTCAAACTCTCTGTGCTGGACGTAACAAATTGATAACGATTTTCATTTCCTGGTACAGATCGAAGTTTGCTGAAGCGGAATCCATCAAATGCGTCGAACGGTGCTTGTTGGTGCGTTATTGGAGAAGCCTCATAGTATGGAACTGTGCGATTTGTCATTTGTGCATCGACTCCACAAAATGTTCCTGATGGAAGGATATGACCCGAGGGTAGAGCCAGTGGAGAGGTGAGATATCGACGCATCTGAACTGTTCATCGGGACAATCATGAATTAGTCTCGAAACTTCTCCCATGGGGTGGATTTTTTACCAAGAATTGGTGGGTTGAGTCTCTGCGACTCTTTGATAAAACTATCCATTTTCCACAATTTGGTCAATTCCACCTTACTCAATTTTCCATTTCCCCCAGCTGTTTTGTGGTCGGCAATGACTGATTCCAATTCTTTTCGGAGCGGAGCTACATGTTCGGGATAGGTTGCCAGGTCATATAAGAGATGGGATATTGTAATGCTGGTGGTGTGAATAGCAGCTAAGCTCACCGTCAATTGATCATGGGCTAATTGCTTCACATCAATCTTTCCACCCTTTTGCGGGGTATGTGATAGTAACCATCTGATAAGCTGTCCATCGTTTTGTTCTTCGGCTTTCTTTTCCAACTCCGAGGGATCGAGTGCGGCTTCGCGTTCGAGGAGTGGTTTTAATAGTTCTTCGGCTTTCTTGTGCACGCCAACTAAAGTTCGGAAATATAGAGGTGCCAGAATTCTACGCTGCCACCAAGGGCGTTTCCAGAGCATTCCAACTGTTACTCCGAGGATTATCGTGTATGCAATCGTCGCTTTGATCCACTCTTCCTCGCGGCACAACGGCGCACCAACAAATACTCTTCCAGATAATAATGCAACCACATTCAGTACCTTTCCATACACCGACACGTTTTTCCATCCTTCGTCGTCATCTGGCAAAGTTCCGATGTTCTTTTCGAATGCGTAGTCTACCTCATCCCATAACGTATCAAGGGTTTTCGAAATATTTCGAGTAAGGTCCTGCTTGATTGAATTAAGAATCGGTTCGGAGAAAATTTTCTGGTCTTTTTTGAGTAAGAGATGAGCCAGATGTCGAGCGTATACTTCTTTTTCAAATGATATCTTTGCTTCTGGGAGAGACTTTATGATGTTGATGGCTGAGTTTGGCAGAATGACAATGGGAACGCGATCGGCCGGTACAACGTATGGCGAATTTGGGTACTATGTACGATTAGCATTGACCGCATGTTATTCTGGATTTTCAAAGCTTACAGTTTGAGTGCCGATTTCTAGCGACTCACCAACGTTAACATTTGGCCCCACTCCTACAATCGGTAAATCGAGATCTTTTAACCTCTCGAGCAGCAACTCTTCATCGGGCTTCTGAGTCCATGCAATTAAGATGGCAGCTAGAATAAGGAATCCTACGATCAAAAAGATGCTGTTCCATCCTAACTCCAGAGAGTTTCGAAAATTGATTCCCTTCAATCTTTGAGACATTTTCCAGATTTGTTTGGAATTGGAGGTTCTGTGACGCATTATTTGGAATTCATCGATACATATGTGTGGAGCTCGTACCGCTGTACCTTCTGTCGGTTGCCTTCGGTGTTCATTATAGATCTCCGAAGCAGGTGGGGATTAACTTTGGGGAAATTTTCCAGGACTGTTGGGACCCATGCAACGAATGTCACCGAATCTCATAATTAAAAATTGGAGTCCCGTGAGCTCTGAATTGGCGAGCTAATGATGCATCTTTTTTCAAATTGGCACTTCTATATTCAAGGTCCATCTATTTCTCATCAAAACAACACAGATATCGATTCACTCAATCAAAGATCCGTCCGTTCTTTTTGTATCACCTTTTTACAATCAGTTTGATACATGGAGGCATTCAAGCAAGTCTATAGTTGTCGCTGACACGAATGTTTCCTATTTGTCGTGCTTACTACCCAACATCCAATTTACTCGATGGTTATATGTTTTTTCGCCATTATCTCCTCTCTCCACGCCCACATTACTATTAAGCCTACACCTGGTCCCGCGAAAAGGTTTGAAAAGAGAGATATTGTCAAAATCAACAGCCAGCTTTCCTTTAACTTTCCGACGAATTTTAAATCGGCGAAATGAAGAATTGTCCAATAAAATGCAGCACTGTATAACGAGGTCTGCTTCGACGTCCAAAACTCCGGAACAGCATTTAGAATAGCCTGGATTGGCTGAATTGATTGGAATGGAGATTGTGGTTCTTGAGTAAGAAAAGCTGTTAACGTTGAATTATTGAGGCTTCCATATAGATGGAACGCTGCACAAATAACGATTGAAATGCCGTATGAAACCCGTAGATAAGTCAGATCTGCTGTAGGCTTGTATATCCTGTTCAGTCGAGTAGTGTCCTTCACGATAAACCTCAGAATTCTCAAAAAAATGGTCAAGTAGACTGGATACCAATACCAAGCGTTGCCGTATATCCATTGCGCAGACTCAGGCTCTATAGAACTCCATATGGCATAGGAGGGACCCAAGGAGAACAAAAGTATTGCCAGAGGCATTATTTTTGCAAAAGCCATGTTTGTCAGTCGGTTATCAAGGGCCGCAAAATTTTCCTGTGGTGATTGAACATAGTGAAAAAAGAAATAGATTGGAGCGATAAATTCGATCCCAAACCTTTGGGCCAGCAAAAGGAATGCAGTAGGGCTATTTTAATTCTCTTAGCAGGGAAAAATATGCTAGGAACTGAAGGTGACTTACAAGATATTTGCTAAGGTGAGAGCATTTCCGCGGCGGTAACTTTCAATTGTCCAGATGGTTACCAGTGGTATGGTATTGGCAATAGAGCTCAACATTTCCAACTTTACCTCGGAGAAGGATTTTGTGACTGTAAATCCCTTTGGTGCTGGTGTTTTATTCCAGAAGAAGTAAAAAGCTATGAGAATCAATGGCAATGCAAGCTGAGCTCTTCGCTTTCGATTCTCCTCCTTCCCAATACCAGAGTTTGTACTCCAAGGCATTGTCCCTTCCAATGCTCTTTTTGGAATCGGGAGACAGTCCAATCTCGTAGCCCCAACTTGAACCTTTGCACCTCGGTCTGCAAGAATATCTCCCAAGCGTGGAATTACAAACATGGATGCGACCCAATCACCCGTTGTAGCAAGTGCTTCTACACGAGTGAATTTATTCGCTGCTTTCACGATCAAGTTTGCTCTTACGTTACGTTTCTGATAATAAAGCGATAGAACGTTTCTGATATCCTCAATAGCAGGTTTACTGCCGTCGTCTCTCAGTGCTTTCGATAGACTGTTAGCCATTTCTGCTGCACTTTCAATTGCACAATTTGCCCCTTGGCCAAGATTTGGTGTCATCTAATGAGTTTTCATCAGCACGGAGAAATTGACATATCGAAGAATTGGATACAAACCTTGTGTATAGAGTCTCCAAGACATGCAACGCGATTCCAATTCCAATGTTCATTCTCCATTTCCTCGATGGTGACGAAATTTGCAACGATACGATTTTTCCACACTTCGGAAAGGAGAATGTTACCGGATACGTGATGATGCATGTATTTCGCTACATGATTAGTTTCATCTCCCTTTTTATACCGCGGAATGCCATCACCAAACGTCCTTTCTTCATTCTTGGTGAACAGAAACCAATATAATTTTCCATCCACGCCACCAAACAACAGAGTCGAAGCGCCCTTTCCTGAACTGCGATGCGTATGCCCGATTTCCAATCCTGGAATTGGTTTGGAAATACCGAACAAACAACTGTATTCTGCGGAAAGAGCAATTTCATCTCTTTTCAAAGCTTCAAGATCTTTTGATGTTCCCTCCTTTGCGATTTGTCGTCGCATTTCTGATCTTATAGTACTATGGATGCCATCTGCACCTGCAATCACATCCCCAGAATACCTTGATCCATCTTCGCAAACTACAACCGCTTCTTTACTATCCTGCTCAATTGACCTGACATATTTGCCAGTTAGAACTTTCGATTTATCGGGAAGGTGTCGATACAAAATTTCCAAAAGTTTCTCCCTTTCCAAGAACGTAATCGTATAGCCCAATCTATTTTCAAGTCAGTCCTTTAATCCAATTCCACTGCAATCCATCTTCTCAAACTAAAATTCACATACCGCTTTCCTGTCAAAATCGGCGCATCAGTTTCAGAAAGCAACCTTCCATTCTCATCCCATGTTTGCATAAAAACACACGGTTCAATGTTTTCCGAAACCGCATCAAACATTCCCAATTGATCTAGAATTCGTGATCCATTAGGCATCAAACTTACTGAAGCACCTACTTGTGGCGCTATGTCGTGGCGGCGCTCGAGAATGATGTAGTCGATTCCATAGCGTGATAGACAGTGTGCGAGGGTTAGGCCTGCGATTGATCCGCCTACTATTACAACTTTCATTTGGGAAGCTTGAGTCATGATGGCAGTGTTAATCGAAGTATAGGGTCTGAGTATTGTTTCTTGTTTTTTTCCGTCATTTATGCTATGGTCTACGAAGGGCATGTTGATTACATACGTGCGTAAGAAATGATGACTACTATTCGCACCTCCTTCCTCTGCCGGTACTTACTTAAACCATGAGATCCCCGCCATTAATCAAAGGTAACTCAAGATCGAGTCTTGCAGATAGACCGGCTTTGTTTGCATTGATGCATACACTCTCAAATTCTGAGATGTGGGTCAACATTCGTGGTGGAATTGAACATGGAATCCGAAGATTAACCGTGGAGACTCATTCGGAGACCGAAGGTTTGCTTTTAGGACACGGTCACCGAGTCGGAGATGTTTAAAATGCTTGAGGGTGGCTGATACAAGTTTCTAAGCATAGGGTGTTTAAAAGTATGATTTTCATAATTCTGGCTACACCGGCTTACACCGGCATTCAAGGTGAACTGGGTACTTTTGTGTTACGTGATTGTGAAAGTACAAAATGACGGTCATGGATGTTGAACCATGTAGTGTAGTTTTCATGGCAGGGGGTGGATATCCTATAGCAATTGCTTGCTTTATTTTCCTATTTTTGCAAATTTCCTGCCAGCTAAGTTAATCATGCGACAACTACAAAAGCATTTCTTGTCCGGACAACTATCCCTGTACCTCCTGGGTATTTGATGTAAAGTTTATAAGTCTTGACACACTTGACATCGAAAATTAAAGGATTCAACAAAAATTGGCTACTGTGAAGAAAGTAAAGTTTTTAAATAAATACATGATCCCCCCCCCCACCCACTACTCTACAACTAGACCAATGTGATATGCTGGAATAGAAAGATAGTATCATGCTTTCATTACTTAGTTTTGGAAAATCAAAGAGCCTTACTTTCAGGTTCATCTATATTTGTTGGCCTAATTCAACACACTAAATACACCACAGACTCATTTAAATGAATTGAATATCTACGAAATTGAATGCAAAATGAGTTGGGCCAACAAGATAAACTATATAACATCAACCAAATACTAAACCAATAAGAATTTCAATCAATATCTGAGCCGCGTTTACTTCCTCTATCACCCCTTTCTTATATCATAAATCCTCTTTGCCAATGAATCCGCCGTCAAATTTAAACTCATGAACTCCGATGCTGCAATATCAGCCCCCAGAGTCTTATAACACCACGTTCTTAAGCTCGTTCCAATCATACTGTCCATACCAAACCTCACTACTTCAGTTCCGGGATCAATATCTTCAACAGCCACATTGAATGTCTGGGAAAATTTCTCTGTTATCATCTCCAAGATATCGGGTAACAAAAGTCTGCGTTTATTTTGCCCAGGACCACTTTCGTTTCCTGACTTCTTGGCCAGAACCGCGTTAAAAACAGGTCCAATGCGTGGCTGTCTCCAAAATGGTATACTATCAATGTCGAGATTTGTACTCAATTGGAGGGGCTCGACGCCGGTTACAATGAAGTTGTTGGCGAGTGGATCCAAGTTCCAGGATGATGAGGGGGCTTTCATCATGGCAGTATCGATGAGATCAATGACACCAGCTTCGTTGATGGTATGAACTCCTGTTCTAGCTAGACCATCCTCGATTCTCTCATTTTGACTCACAAATCCAACTTCGGTGACGACGGTAAGTGAGATTGTGGTTGCTGGTAGACCTTTACTTTGACGGTATCTCGCAAAGAATTCGAGGAAAGAATTTCCTGCGCAATAATTACTTTGTGTTGGGAAACCAGATAAAGCAGATGATGATCCGAGCATGACGAAGAAGTCTAGAGAGTGGCTTGCAACGGCATTGTGAAGATTCCAAGTTCCTGTGACTTTAGGACGAACGGCGTATTCCCAGCTATTAAGGTCATGGCTTGTAAAAAGTCGATCCTGTTTCATAATTTTAGTGTTTCACTCATAAAATCCCACATTTCAGTCAACTTACATCTAAAGCCATTACACCTTGCACAACACCGAATATCGGACCGGCAGCCAAGTCAACTGCCTTTTGGACGTCAGAAATCCTAGTGACATCCCCTTTCACTACATCCACAGTGATTCCATCATTTCTAAAATCTTTGATCATGGATGCGGCTTCAGGTCGGTCTTCACCAGAGCGACCAAGGAAAATCAGGTGACGGGCGCCCTTTTCAACCATGTGACGAGCCAAACATCGACCAAGGCCCCCAAGACACCCAACAAGTAGGTATGAACCATTTGACTTGAAAGCAATCGACTTCTTCTTCTTCGCAAACTGTGATGCGTCTGATTAGCACCATTTTGGATATACCGCGAAATAACTTACATTAATCTTCTCAGTGTCAAAGCTGACAACAACCCTTCCAATTCTACTGTTTTTGCCAAATTCTTCAAAAGCCTGGCCAATTGCAGAAGCAGGGAAGACCGATAGATTTGGAAGGATTTGAATCTTACAATCTCGATAGTATTGCATAATTTCACCCAAGATCCTGTTGATGTCAGTGTTAATAGATCCTGTCGTGAATGTAGCAACTTACTGAGAAACAAGATCCGGCTTGTGTTCGAAAACGAGAACCAAGTCCATGGCAATAAAAGAAGCGCCTCTCTTGAAAGGACTCATGTCCAATATACCTTGATCTAGGATATCGGTCTGTCCGAGCTCAATATGACGGCCGTGGTGTCCTATACAGTTCCAGGTAGCTCTCAACTGTTCACGAACAAGCGAGTTCAGTGATACATCAACTCCACGGCCACCTGTGGTCTGCATAATCTCAGCTGCAAAGCTTGCGTCCTTTGATGATAAGATATGATCATCTCGGAGACCATATTCTTGCATTAAGAATTTCTTCTTTTCTGGAGTTCCAACAGTGGCAAAAATCTCAGCACCAATCATTTTTGCGATCTGAATTGCCGCCAGTCCAACACCTCCAGTAGCAGAGTTGATAAGTACCGATTCTCCCGGTTGAAGCTTGGCAAGATATATCAATCCATATATAGCTGTTAAGAATGGCATCATAATGCTTGACATCTGATCGAATTTCTCCTCTGGTTGAAGTTTCTGGAGGAACCTAGAGTCATATCTTTCGATGTTACGGAAGTTTCCAAAGCCAGCCCAGCTTACTCGATCGCCAATGGCAACATTTGTGACCCCAGAACCGATGCTTCTGACTACACCAGAACCCTCAAGACCCAGTATTTCCGAATTATAAGTTCCTTGTAGCGTTGCGAAATCCTGTAGTAGTTTAGCTTTGAGAAACCAGAAAAGTCTCGGAGTCTTTTACCTTCATGTTCAAACCGACTGCTTTCACATCTACCTCGACCTCTCCAGGTTTAAGTGAAGCTTCCCACTCATCATCCTTAAAGTGTATCGTGTCAAAAATACCGACGCGCTCGATGCCCAACCTGACACATTTTTCTGGCTCATACGGGATCATTCTTGGCTCTGTTTCAACCCCAGCAACAAATTGTTGATCCAGTAGAGGGTCTTGAGAAAGTCTGCTGATATAGAAAATATCATTTTTGACCATATACTCTTTATCATCATCTCCACTGTCAGCTGCATCCAGAATGGTTGTTATGTTGGAGATAGTCTTTATAGGATCTCGGTGATCCAGGTCCAAAGTTTTGAAAGTAAGAGTTGGATGCTCTGTCTGAAGACAGCGGCCTAGTCCAATAACTATTCCGGCATTAGGATCGCCTCCCTCTAGAAGACTGCCATGAGTAACCCATAGCATATTTGTCGCTTCACTTGCAATTGACTGTATTGTTGCTAGCTCTTGACTCGTCAAGGATTCATGGAATAGACTAGACTCGGACTCCACAATAAAAACGTAGGTTGCTTTTGTATGGGCGTGGGATTTGAAGTCTTGTAGAGACATTGATGTGATTGACCTTCCACTCTTTGACAATCCAGAGTATATATGAGAGTCGAATACTGTTGGAGAAGTTCTTGTGACAAGTACAACCTCTCCTGCTGGCAGGACAGAACTGGTCCTTTGATGGGGACTGATTAGCAAAGACTCTTGATCTTCAAGAATTGTATAGAGTCCAGCCGATTGAAGATCTGTTTTGATTGTATTGCCATCCTTGAAATCTGAATTATAAAGCAGCATGTTTCCATCTGGTGTTAATAGACCTTTGAGTTTGGTCAAATCAATCTCGTCGCTAGAAAATTGAGGCACAATGACCATATCAAAGAAAGTCTCTAGGACATCGTCTAGAACCAACTTCTGCACTACAACACCGGGGAAAGCTTCATACTTGCTTTTTATGGGCTCTATATCAACGTCGCCGAGAGTCATAATAGTATAAGTCTTGTACCGACGAAGCGATGAACCACTTTCAAGAACTTTGTGAAGATTGTCGGAAATCATTGATTCTGTATTTAAAATCTCACAAATGTTGAATCCAGGACGTTTGTGGACAATAAGATCGAGAAGAGAATTATCAGTCAAGTTGGAGATCATCTTATCGACATCTGGCTTCCATACAGTGCGAAGGTATGGGTGACGATCTACCGTTCCAAGGTCATCAAGGGCTTCCGAGTATTGAGTACATGATAGTTCTTCAATCTCAAACAGTGGCTTGCCTTCAGGTGAGTAAAGCTGACACCACCCGTTCATGGCACGTAGACTGAAAAACTCTGCGTGTGCAAGGACCTTGCCTTTCCCATGGGTCAATTGAGTGATGTGATCATCATCGCCCCAGGACCATAAGGAGACATTAGTCATTGACGTTGGAACAAATGATCTTTTTAAGCCGGATAAGGAGCCTTTGTGTGCTCCAATCAGTGCAACTTGAATGCAGGTGTCCATCGCTGCGGGGTGTACGATATATGCGGAATCATGCTCAGAGACACCTTCAGGACAGAGCTCAGTGTCCGCAACGGCTTCTTCCAGAGCTGGATTGGTACGGATATTACTTAACCCATTGAAAGCTGGTCCGTAATTCAGCGAAACCTTTTGGAAACCACGGTACCAAGTTCGAGCAGCCTTTGGTTCTTGTAATTTACTTTCATCGAATCTTGGGACCATGGCAACAGCCTTCTTCTTTGTGACAGTTCCAACACAATGATTTGTCCAATTGCCAGCTTGAATAGACGATATTGTGAACTCCGCAATCGTTTTGGACGTAATCGAAGCAGTTATAGTGGCGAACTTCATTGTGGTAACAATCTCCACTTGGGATCCAGAAGGTGGGATGTTTAATGCAGATGTGATGCTAATGTTAGGAAAGAAATATCGGAACGCCCCATTGACCGTCAGCTTGTCGTGGAAAAATTGACGTGCAGCCTCGGTTGCAATGGCTAGATAGCCAGTTCCAGGCAGCACAGGTTGCGGTCCTAGTTTATGTTCCTCTAACCACGGGAAATTCTTAGAGTCAAGCATATTCCTCCATTGTCTTTGTTCCACTGAAGACCCTGGAAGAATGGCACCCAGTAGGTCGTGGTATTTGAATTCCCGTAAGCGATGTTCTTCACTTGGTCTATTTTTGTTTCTTATCTCACCGGCAGAGTAGTTCCATGAGAACCTAGGAAGATCAACAATCGGCAAGCCAGTTTTTGTAATTATGGCGTCGCCCTCTCGTTTTTCAATGGCGTTGACGCGCTCGATATTCACCGGAAACCCTCTCATAGTAAGAGTTCCAGCAAGGTCCAGAAGACGAGTCACAGAGCTCTGTCCACGTACTAAGGTGGAAGCATAGTCCAAGTCTTTGGGTGTTATCCCCAGGTTATCTCTAATCTGCCTCAAAGGACCGGCAAGAGCAGAGTGAGGGCCAATTTCGACAAATTGTGAAATTCCAAGATCTGCTGCCAATGCAGCTTCGACCGCTTCAGTGAATCGTACTGGAGATTCCAAATTCTTACGCCAATAGCTAGGTCCTGGTTTGAAATTGGATGGCATTTGTTGAGCGGTTACGGAGGAGAAAAATACTGGGTTCTGCCCTTCAGCTTGATTGGTGGTTTGAGATGCGCCGAATCTAGAAAGTGCTTCTGACAAGCGACTTTCGTAGTCATTGCCAATATTCAGCATGTGATGTGAGTGATAAGCTCTACCACCAGTCTTTAGCTCACGAACGAATACCCTGTCGGATTCTAACTTCTTCTGGACTATGGTAGCAGGCTCAATATCACCACTCAATGTAACACTGTTAGGTGAGTTATAGCATGCAATACGCAGTCCGTCGGTAAGATAAGGTTGTATTTCTTCAGGGCCGGCGCCAACAGCCAACATAGTACCTTTCACTTTGAGAGTACCAACCCCTCGTCCTCGGTAAAATGCGGAGATGATAGCTTCCTCAGCTGTTATGAGGTGTGCGGCATATGAAGATGCAATTTCACCAGACGAATGACCGATACATGCAACTGGCGTTACATTCCAAAGTCGAAGAAGCTCAACAAGAGCTATTTGAACGGCTGTGCAAACAGGCTGTGAAATCTCGACATCGTTAATCTTACTGGTTACTGCGGGCTCCATCAGGATATCCTCAATATTCCAATCGGGAGAATCATCCCCTAGAGACTGCAGTGAACGGTCGAGCTTCCTTATAGTGTCGATATATGATGGGAATGTCAACATGAGTTCTCGACCCATCTGTGCATTCTGAGCTCCTTGTCCTGTAAAGATGAAACCAATGTTTCCACCCTTTCCCCTCTTTCCGAACGTAATCTCATGTTCCAAAAGATCCTCCTCCACATCTTCTTCTCGTGCTACCGTGTATGCGCAATTAAAGAAATTCGATCTCCGACAGCCAAGAGTGTATGCAAGGTCCAGTATGTTATAATCTTCTGCCACGTCACGACACCTTTCAATGTTACTTTTCAACGTAGAGATATCATGAGCAGAAAAGATAAGAAGAAATTCTGAACGGGATACAGCTCGCGCTTGCGAGGCAGAATTCGTGCCCACCATTTCGACTGACTCGGAATCTTCACTGCCAGCTTCCAGATCCCTCTCATCCTGGCCCCGTCGGGTGTACGTTAATTTTCCAGGTAGGATCGAGTCGGCGGCTTCGACGATTGCATGGGCATTAGCTCCTCCATAACCGAATGAGTTTATACTTGCGCGACAAGTAGAAAAGCCTTTTGGCCAAGGTGTCATTTTCTGAACGACCTCTATCCTCCCACCCTTGAAATCGACTATTGAACAGTCAGTACATGATCTTAGTAGCGGCACTGTACAACTTACTTTTGGGATTCAATTTCTTTATACCGATTGTTGCTGGTATTGTTTGTTTTTCCATAGCTAAGCATACTTTTATTATACTTGCCAAGGCACTAGCTGCTTCGCTATGTCCGACGTTGGTTTTCACCTAGAAGATTAAGTATTATAAATGATATACGCAGACAATGTAACATACCGATCCAACAAGAAGTTTCTGCCTGTCCGTGCCGTTAACGAAAACATTTCCAACTCCCTTAATCTCTATTGGATCTCCAACTTGGGTACCAGTGCCATGCGTCTCAAAATATGAGGTATCTTTTGGGTCCAGACCGGCGAATTCATAGGCCGTACGCATTACAGTCTCATGACCCTTCGCACTTGGCTGAGTGATGCCACTGGTTTTTCCATTCGCATTCGTAGCTGTGCCTCTGATTACACCGCGTATAGGATCATTGTCCCGAATGGCATCAGACAAACGCTTCAGAAAGATTGCACCAACACCTTCAGCACGGCCATATCCATCAGCTGACTCGTCGAAAGTATGACAAGTAGATGTAGCTGATAAAACACCAACTTTATCTGTACTCATCTGGGTTTCTATGGCGAGCATCAGATTTGTACCACCAACTACTGCAGCATCAATTTCTTTCGTCTGTAACGCTCTGCATGCGATATGCAGAGAGTAGAGAGAGGAAGAGCAAGCCGTGTCGATTGTGAGACTAATAGCACACTCTCAGTTGTGCACCTTGAAATGAGTTGACAGGGAGCTTACCTCGGACCACAAAGATCAAAAAGATAACTAACTCGATTGCTAATTATAGTGTAACCAGAACCTAATAAACTATAAGGCCTCGGATTGTTGTGATCTCGATGACCTTGAAGGTAGTAGTCGGAAGTGAAATTTCCAATATAACAGCCTGTATTGGAGCCCGACAATTGGCTCAGCGTGATCCCACCGGACTCAAAAGACTCGTAAACACACTCCAGCAACTTTCTCTGTTGAGGATCCATTGCCTTCGCCTCCTCTTGTACAATACCGAAAAACGCCGGGTCAAATTTCCAAATATCCTCATTAATAAAGTAACCACCTTCTGGAGTTATAGAACCAGGTCGAGCCTTGTTTGCATGAAAACCATCAATGTTCCAGCGCGATAACGGCGGCCTCGAAAGTCCAGAACGTTCCTCGGCAAGCATCTGCCAGAACTCATCTGGAGAATCCGAGTCGCCTGGGAAGCGACATCCTGAACAACGGTTAGCTACTTCATCTCTTTAAAAAAGAAAACACATATGATAACTTACCCATGCCAATGATCGCAACTGGCTCTGGAGAAGACATGGTTATGATAATGTAAGAGTAATGCACGTAAAAAAAAATCAACAAATGAACATAACGATTGATAGAAAGTAGAGAATACTGGAAATCAATTTGTGATAAAATATCTAAATTCGATGAAATCTAACAATCGTGTTGAATAGATGCAGATCTGTGGCAGGAACCATTAGCTCCTTGTGGGGAAGCGTTGTCTCTACATAAAGCTTATTCACCTTTCTTCATGTTTGCTGTTTCGTGTGTCCTTCCAGCGGTGGTGTGGGTCCTCGGTCTCCGTTCTTCCAGGTGCAATGTTACATCGGATTCCGATTGTTCGAGAGCACGTGCAGCTTTGGAGGAAACAAAGCAACTGAACACAAATGGACACGTTTGAATCGAACAAGATATTCAATTCTTGCTTGATTTTTGCAGTCTCATGCAATATTTTTAAACTTAGGATTCTGTCATCTATGGGCAATATAATAAAAATACAAGCATTCGCGTCTGCATATGAATTTTCCTCAACGTTTCCAGCTGCTCTCATGGCATGACTAATTGCCAAGCCTCCTCAAGATTGAAATTCAAAACTGTGCCGACTTCGACGTGAAGAACGTTTATCCTGGTGTTTTGATGATGCCTCTTCATAAAGCCGAGATTACTATGCTGCTGTTCTGCTTGGAATCCAGTAATATGCTAGTCTCTGGTTTGGAATCTAGCAGCTCCAGAGCCCCCCTCAATTTCGTACTCAACTCCGGTAGCTACGAATATTCACGTCAGTCAATCAGAAAACGGAGGCTCTAGTGGTAGCAACTCACATATGAAGGAGTGAAGATGCTAAAATGATCACCATCAACTCGAAGCTCTTCAATTATAAAGTTGTACGGATACCTTTGCCAACCTAAAGCATATTCCTCGCGAAACCAGTCGACCTCTACAACCTCTACAACCTTCTCTGTCGGTACTACCTTGAGTGCCCTTATGAAAACAGCGGGTGGCGGTCGTCTGAAACTCGATCCATCGTTAACTTTTATGTACGTTTAAAAGTGAAAAGAATAAAGAGACTGTACCTTCCGTTTTCCCAAGTTGGCAACTCCCAGACTGAAAGCGCATGGATAATATCATTCACAGCTTGCTGTTGTGCCAATCTACTCTTTGCTGTTTGATCCGGCGCCACTGGGATATGGAACTGAACTGGTGGTGAATTCTTTGGTCGCCAGTCCGGAAAATCAGGAAATGGTGTATCTAACAAGACTATTCCAGCGACACAAAGTTCTGGAATATTCTCCAAGCACTTTGCAACTTGAATTGCTATTGAACCGCCTGCAGACCAACCTGTAGCAAATTTGAGTAATGTTATGTAGGTAAGAAAGTGGGAAACTAACCACCAAGTAGGACTTTGCCTCTGGAGACTTTTCCTCGGATGTATCCAGCATATAATTCGCCCATTCCTTTAATACCACGTTCAAAAGTACCACCGTCATTAAGATGTGGATATGATATTCCCCATACATTGCGGTTTAAGCTTTCGAGGAAGTAATAGGGTAAAACTGTTCCACCACCATCATGAAACAGGAATAATGGAATTGCAGATTTGTGTCGCCGAGGGGCTTTCTGGATTAAAACCGGGTTCTCCATAATTTATAATAGACTATATTTGAAAATACTTTGAATGGGTGATAAGAAAACTCCAGGAACTCTTGATGCTTTCGATTCGGGGACGAAACAAGACAAAATACCAACTAGAAAGAAGATGGGAAATTTTGTTCACCAGTAAGGTGAATATTCGGGTTTAATGACCGGTGGCCGGAAACCCAGACAGGTTGTGGATATCCCGCGGACCTTGAAAAGTGGCTCTCAGTTCATTTACATCACAGAATACAGAGAACACAGCCCCGTCAGAAATTGCACATTTCAAAAGCTCTGTGGTCTTTGATGTTCAATGAGAATCAATTTTCTACCCCTTTTCTCGAAAAATGTCTAGCATCACTCCTCTCAATCAGGCGACGCCTTCCGCGACCGAAACTTTAATAACTGAGTTGACGCCACTAGATCACCTCATGCCTCAAACATATGTGATCAGTTCGAATTGCAGCTGGCCAATCTCTCGCCGCAGTAACGTTGAAGATATTCATAAACACTTGAAGCTAGGTTTGAAGCAGACCATAAAGGAAATCCCTTTTCTTGGCGGGTCTGTCATTCCCACGGGTTCTCCTGGAAAGTTCTGTATCGAAACTTTACCTGAAGATTTAGAAGGAAATCAATTGATTTTTAATGATCTCCGTACCGGAAGTGGAAATTCATGGCCACATTCCTACAAAAGTTTAAGAAAGGCAAGGTTCCCGAGTACTCTCTTCGCAGACGACCGCCTCAGTCCAGTGAAGGGGTATATGACTCAGGAAAGACTACCGGTTATAGCTGCTCAGGCAAACTTCATTGATGGAGGATTGATTCTTCATCTGAGTGTCCTCCATACAGCATGTGATGTACTTGCCTGGAATAACATCCTCTTCATTCTATCGAAGAACGTGAAAGCTTCTTGGCCCACCGAAGCCGAAGTGACCCTTGATGACGACTTGCAGGACTACAAGGTCTTACCTAGCTTTCTTGATAGATCTCCACTCATGCGTGGAAATCTCAACGTTGAGCGAATGGATGTTCGAGAATACAGGCTACAACTTGCCAATTCAAAGCTCGAAGATCCCAGAAATCATCTTATCGACCCTCCCCCAAAGTCAATCACTGAGATGGAAAATGCCCTCTTCTGCATTTCCAACTCAAAATTGGGGGAGCTCAGAGATTCTATTTCAATAGAAGGTTCAGCAGCATCCTGGTTAACAGTGAACGACGCACTGGCTGCATTAATGTGGTGCTGCGTCAACCGTGCTAGGATATCGAACGGGAGTCAAAAACTTTTACGGGGAAATTTATCTGTTGCATATGATGGTCGTACAATTCTTGATCCACCACTGCCCAAGAAATTCATGGGAAATTCCTCTTTGGGATTCCCCATTACCCTTGATATTCATCCAAGGTCCATTTTTGAAGCAGCACTTGCTATCTCCGAGTCACGAAACGATTTCAACGATAAGCATATAAGAGACATTATCGGGTTCTTAGATGGCTTGGACGACATTACAGAGGAACGTGTATCATATGCCAAGACTCTAAATCCCATTTTGGTCATTAGTAACTTGAAAGATATGGGGTTTTATGAGCAGGACTGGGGTGGAAGTTTGGGATTTCAGGATGCTTTGAGGATGGCCAATCCTTTCTTAGACTGCATTCCTAGAGTAGTGCCGATGCCGGCACAGCGGAATGGGAATGTAGATTTGGTTGTTTGGATCGAGAAGTCAGCGGCCAAGCGATTGAGGGAGGATGAAACTTGGAACAAATGGATCACGCCTGTAACCGAGTAAGTAATGGAAGCCAAAAATCGACAATGGATATTTTGAAGGGTTGTGAAAATCGAGAGCATGAGAATTGCTGTGATTCTTCGGCATGTTCGAGTTTACGTTTAGATTTTCACAAAAAAATTTCTCTGCAAATACTGCAGATATTTCAATATTTGCGGGTTGCGATGTAGAAGTGTTGGCTTACAAGCTGGTCGACTTCTCCGGTCGTAAGTGTAACGAGAATCTGCAGGGCACGGAAAACTGAACTTGATAAGATTTAGCATATCTTTGTAGAGCCTCAAAATATAGCTGCATATCACTGCAAAGTCTTGTTCTATCACAATTCCCCGGTTTCACGCAGTTATAGTTGAATCGATATGCATCTTTTTGAGTCCTTGTGTTGGTAATCTATCAGAAACGGTACTATCCCACTCTAGAAGTTAGGACAACACATTGTACAAGAGCATATGCACCAAATGAATGCGATCCAGATAGCTTGTGACTACCATACAGTTTACGGAAAGAAACATCCCACTTGAGTAGTGGCACGAAGATAATACTGAGTGAAACAGAGCGATGAATTGTACGATTGACTCAAAGCTCGGAGTGAAAAACCTTAACTGTATGCAAACCGAGACATAAGAGGATACGTGCGAGTATAACAGCGGTGGCCGATAACATACTGAGAACACCGGCCATAAGATAAAAGCTGAGGTGCACTCGACCTCAAAATCATCTCGAACACCTCACAACTCAATATCTCAAATTTACATAAATCTCACTCTAAGACGTTTGTATTGGATCGAGTATACGATGACAAGCCACAGATCTGAATCGAAAGCAACGGTCAAAGTCCGACCACCTCCATCATTCATCGGGGGATTGCAAGACAAATCATGGACTCCTACTCCAGAGAACTGGCTCTATGGATCGTGGTACATGACCCATACTTCTCAACAATATTATTGGGAGCGCACGAAGAACTTTGTCATTCAATATGCACCCGTCATGAATGGAGTCTGGCCCTGTACAAACCAAGAGCTGGTATCTCTTACTCCCCTCAGCCAGCCAGAACGTATTTACACCGCCTTTGGAATCGACTCCCCCATTGCTGGGCTCGATGATGCTTGGCTGTGCCAATGCACAGGACATCTGAGCCATATATCAGACCACGTTGCATTTCTGGCCTGGGGTGCCGACTCGCAGAATGTGGACTGGGTCGTGCTGTATTCAACTCCACTGCCGGGAGCTACAGTGGGTCTTCCTGCACAAGTTGCGATTATGAGTCGTAAACGTTTCGGTCCGGACGATATGACGGTGGAAGCAATCAAAGAAGGTCTTTGCGCCGCGGGGAATTCAGAGTTAGCCAAGCTGGTGGATAATTTGCGGCCTTTGTTGCAAGAAGATCTCGAAAGTGGACGGCCGACCTGTGAATACCACGTGGTACAAAATGTAGATTCTTTGACTAGATTTTGATATATCTACAACACAGATAACGGAAAAGTGTAAAATAAAATTGCCAACAAGGTCCATTACCCATTCACAGAACATCAAAATGATATTTCGTGGATGTGGTGATGAAGGAGATCTGCGCCACCCCGTGCTCCGCCCCTTCGTCTTGTTCCACTTACATATTGTAGCACTCAAAATAAAGTTTAGGGCTAACTCCGGGAAACCAATATGCCACCTTTACTACTAACAAGACAAGGGGAAACAAAATCCGTAATGTGTAACAATGAAGTAGAGTTTGACTTGAAAATATAAAGTGGAAAACAATCTGCGTGAAAACGGGGGGCTTCCTGTTAAATGCAATGATTACAGCCTGTTTTAAGATCGGGAGGATAATGTTTGCTTGTTTGAGATCAGTTGGGAGGGACCCTCCGATATGCATGTATTTTTGAAGGGAAAAGTCCAAAAACGGAAATCATTCACCCCCTTAACACTCTGGTGTGAAGTTTAAATAAGATGAATCCTCACGCTGTCAGATTGTGTCACAGTTTTTAGAGCTAGATTTCCGAGGACTGATTAAGGTTGTGAACTACCGGTATCTACCGGGAGCGATTGAAATGGCGACACGCTAATTGGGCTTAAACCTTATGGGAAATCACGGAAAACCGAAACACCGATCCATGCACTTACAACAGATAACCACCCCAATTCTTTGAATAACGGTCAGCCTGGCAATGCTTGGCTGTCTGTATCTAATTTCATTCGACATATGTGTAACTGTCAGGATCTGGAATACGCACGAAATACGAGATTAGCGCCTGTTTGACGATCAGATTTCAAGACAACTGAACCATTTTTTTGAATCATGGCGATTGTTTAAGTATCATTTTCGTGAAATGTTATACAGACGAGGATTTTAGGAAACATAATTGTCAAATGGGGTCTTGGTTTCAGATCTGTCTGTCAATCCTTAAATAGAATATGTATGTGACTGCGTCTATAACTGAGGGGCATCACGAAGATACATGAATTAAGTTATGTTATACCGCCTTCGTTAGCCATGCCAGCCAGGATCAGTTTGTTTGGGCAGAATGACTCTCTTGGTGGCAGGAGAAAAGCGGTGTAGTAAACTTTTTACATATACTTTCGTGGAGGCTTTCTTTTAAGGCTACTTGGGCATTTATCACAGGCGAAAACCTTATTGTTTGTAATAAGTGAGTAAGTGACGTGCGCATTATTAATGCAGTCGCGAAATAGTACTTTGTAGATCCAAATACCATTCAAGACCCTTGACTTTACTTGAGGGTTTTGGCCGGCCGTCCGTTGTTGTTCTAGATAGCATACGCGTTGTTTTAAAGACTGAATTGGCGAATCATCCATGTGCGTGTCACCATGCATGCCGGTATGAGCTCGGTAACCCTAAATTCTGGGGAAACATGATTATGCTTGACAGGTATGATTGAAACCACAGATTTACAAGGGGGGCATGCTGCAAGCGAATTACCATACTATGCCCGGGATTTTTATTCAACACGTATTAGTGCCTATATTGGCTGGTAAAGCGTGAATAGGGTGTCCCCTATCTTAACTAACCCTATTCAATTAAACCTAGACTATACGTATCAGGAAATCAGCATCATGCAGGCAATGAGATCTACGGTTCAGTTGGTAGGAAGGCTTTTCCATATCATTTTGCGGACCGTCCACCAGGTTGTAAATGACTACAGTAGATGCGAAAGTTAATCAGATTGACCGTGACGTCCCGCAGGCGTGGACTTTCGGCATGCAAGTGGGTTATGCGGGTGAGCCACTTAAGACATTTGCAAAGAGGAATCAGAAAAGATAACGATAGTCATGATACGGATTTCAACTTGATTATATTCTCCGAGGACCGATTATCAAGAAAGCATTCAAGCATACCTTAATTCATAACTTAATCCATACATCAATTCTACCTCTTCTGCATCTAAATCAGTCAAACCACTCAAATCACTTCTCATGTCTCCGTAGGTCACTTTCTTTCTGTCTATCTCCAACTTTGTGCTGAAAATCATGTTAATTATGGCTTCAAACAACAGACCACAAAAACCTCCAAAGCTACGACATGCTTGTAATGAATGTCATGCATCTAAGGTCAGAAATTATTAATACCCTCCTAGAACCGTTTGAAGTATTCATTTGAAGTAGGTCAGATGCAGCGGAGAACGTACAGGATGTCGACGGTGTGTATATAATCAACAAAAATGCACCTATAGTGTCTCCATGGTGGGAAAAGTGCAAGGCCATCGTAGGCGGGCATCAGTCCTTAAAAATACAGCAGTGACAGGAACAGCTCCTATGTATGTTAATCCAGACGATTATTACCCATTCAAGAGCGAAAATAAAGGGCTAACAAGTTCTGCATTAGACCCGGTAGCCAGTCATTAAATATCAACACTTCAACAGATATTACATCCGTGGCAAGCGCGGACGTCATTCATGATGAGGCCAACGGCAATAATTTGAACAGCAAGCAAAACAGTGTACCTGTGGAAAGTAGTGAGGACATAATTTCTTCACCTGCGCATTGCAGCATTCTTCCGGGGGAAAATAACGACAAAATTATCTCAAACTCGGCACCAGAGAATTTCTCGACGAGTTTGGAAAGCATAGATACATCATCCCTGGAGACTCCAATGATTGAACACGAATTCCCATGGGATTTTAGTTCTGACGAAAGAGCTGATGCCCTCAACTCGCTTGCTCTTGATAATTCCTCGAATGTAGATAGCATGAAAAATCCGGAATACGGAGACTTCGAATATGACTTCTCAATTCATGAAGTTCCTACGACTACCAGCTCCCGAGATGATAGTAGGAGTCCCAAGAGGCAGACTACTGGTCCAATACCGATTTCACCAATTCCTACATTCCATCCTTCTCGGAAAAGGACTCATTCAGACTCGTCAGAAAAACATGCTCAACACGCCCAAAACGATTTGCGATGGAGATCTCAATCCCAATCATATACGCGTCCCGCAATTTCAATACAGCATCATAATCATGGCTTCTCCCGTGAGATGTATGAGTATCCGGAGAGTAGTGCTTCCTTCGATGCAGATTGTGGTTTTGATCGAGGTTTCACCTCCCACTCTACCACGAGTCAAACGAATGTGAATCACCAAAGTATGAATCGAATGCCACAGACTACACATAATAACAAAATCTCATTTGCAGCCCAATCTCATTACATAACCTCTCCTGTACTTTCCTCGGTCACACAATATGAAGCTTCTTGGCGCTTCACGTCAAAATGCTTTATTATAATCAGCAAACTCCAGAAATTACTTCGAGATCCATCGTCTCTATCTCTTGATGTAATCCTTGCTACCAACAAAAGTGCAGTATCTGAGCTGGCTCAAATATTTGACAGCACACTAGCTTCAAACACAGCAAGAAGTACAAGCCCGGAAGATTTTTTCTCTATTCACTCTGGGATTCAACCAAGCAATAGCTGTAATCCGCCACAATTGATGGATTCCACCCCTTTAATGATCTATGTGATCGCGCTAAAACATATCCACGATCTCTACTCACAAGCCTGCTTCATATTTACTCAAGACGACCATCGAAGGCGCTCACCCTCTATCCCATCACCCCGAAACACACCCTCCAGCTCTAGTTCGCCACCCTCAAATCCTTTCGGCCTTCCACAACTCGATTTTGGCACATTCAAAATCGACATTGCTGATCAAAGGAGACTATTCTCGGAGATCATAGCCAGAGAGCTTGGAAATTGCCTGAGTGCTTGTACGAGACTAAGGAGTTGTTTCTTGATGCAGCCCGGTGATATAAGTGCTTCGACAGGGTTGATGGAAGAGACCTTTCTGGGTATCGAGGAGGGGTTGCAGACGATGATAAAGCAAGTCAAGATATGATCTACGAGAATTGACCAAGGGAGTTAAGGTGGTAACATGATTTTAATGTGGCGTTTTTTGTTTCAGTTTTGCATTTTAAATCTCAGTCTAGGCGCGGGATGATTAGAATCAAGTTCAGACACTTCCTTTCCTTGTGTCCGTAGAAAGTCTACATAGTACTTTATGATATACTATTACAAATTGGGCTATGGAATGAGTTTATCGGGTGTCATAAATTAGCCTAATCAGTCATATCTGACATTGCATATCAACAGAAGCATCTATGGTATTTCATGATTACAAGATAAACCTATCATCTACCTTTCATATTTTTCTCGATATTATTGATTCTGGCCCTTGATTAGTTCTATCAGCCTCGTTCCGTACACGATCAGAGTTGACAAGCGATCTCTGAGCTACAACGGACTATATTATCAACAACTCAAGGTAGTAATTTGAAATCAACACAGTACTGGTTAAAACATAGTCCAAACCCTCAATTTTAATATTTTCCAACTACAAAAATGCAGAAGCTGTATCATTCATGATATTATTCATAACTATCGATGAACTGTTCAGAGATGAGAACGAGTAATCACTACATGGGGTATAGTAATTATATAATATTATTTCCAATATCCTTATTCTAAATTTACTATTATAAGCCTTTCGTTAAGGACAACTCCTCGAGATGTAGATAGAAAACGCAGTGAGGCATACTTCTGATTAGTTTAGTTTATCTGCGCTGTTCGAAAGGAAAGAGAGGGCGCTGAACTATACAATACTACATCCAAATCTTATAAAGACAGAGGTCTTTCTATAAGAAATGTTTCGTTAGTTGTACAGAACTTCTACATGAGGAAGCTAAGTGAAATAGTTTCAATATGTCTTTTATTTACACTTATATTCCGATACTTTGATATATACTTAATTAGTAAAATAGAAAGCCTCTTTTAAAAAAAGTACTTTCCTCAACTCAATAAGTAAGTCGAGTACCCTTTTTTCTGGCCACCCCTGTTTTGGGCCACCCATTTACACCAAAAATCGCATTCCTGGCTTATTAATATCTCTCTCAAAACACAATGTAATTTATTGAAAACTTATATAAATAAAATTCAGATCATTTTAAGCTTATTCTGAAGATTTCAGATTTTTAGGATTTTTCTGGATGGAAAACTGAAGTCTCAAAATATCGATTTTGAAATTTGTATAGGAATTATATACAAATTTGAAACTTATTTTAAATCTTTAATAACTTTTCAACTACAATTAATAAAAAGAAACTGTTTACTTTTTTGAAGGTTTTAAACTTGAATCTATATAAAGTATATGAACGATGATCATATAGTGAATAGTTTCAATTCATTAGCTACTGTATTATAAGCTCTAAGCGAAAGCGAAAGAGACTAGTTCTTTTAGTAGGTCTATATAAGACCTACTACTTCCTGTATATAGCTAGCTCTTTAAACAGAATACAATATAGATATTTAGGATCTAAATTCGTAGGTACTACGTCTTCTGTATCCTTCTCAAACCAACATAAAGATTCAAAAAAAAAAGAATAATTATAAAGATATAATTTAGGTAGGAAAAAATAATCCCTGCAATTTCGAAAGTACCTTTATAAATACTCATATATTGAAGTTTTTCTAATTTCTTTGAGTTTTCTGTATTACAAAAGATATAAATTTATAATAAAAATTTATAATTTATTTTTATTAATTTTTATTAATTTTTATTAAAAGATTATTGAAGATTTTAAAAAAAAAGTAAAATTTGTATGTAATTCCTATACAAATTTGAACATCGATATTTTAAAGCTTCAAATCTCTATTCAAAAAGATCCTAAAAATCTGAAATTTTCAAAATAAGCTTGAAATGATTTGAAATATATATATATAAATTTTCATTAAATTCTATTAAGAAATAAAAAGTTTTTTTTTCAATTTTAATGATAAAAGGTGGCCTAAAACAGGGGTGGCCAGAAAATAGAGTACTCGACTTAATAATAAGACATTGAAAACAATTTCTTTACTACTGAGTATTATACTTTGATTTACAAATAGAATAAATGATATCTTATAAAATAGTAGAAGTTATATGAAGTGTACGTATTGAGAAGCTCTTTAGATATATTCGATTCGTTACAATCTTTAAAGATTTGAAATCAAGTCAATTTATATTACATTGTTTAAACAAAATTTTCTATAATCATACAATTTTGATAATATCGAGTACAAAACCTCTTCTGATTAGACACTGGGTATTCATGAGAAATGTACAAAGCTAGGAGCTTAGTTGCTTAGGTCAATCGAGGTATTAAATCTCATTACACAGTAGTATCTCAGAAAATTTATAGAATTATCAAAAGCAATTCATGCAAATTGTAATTAAACTTCATCATGATTCCAAAAGTCTATGTATACATCGACCGTTGATGACTGACCTCGGGAGCTTTAGTTATCCAATTTATGTGATTTCAATCACAATCAGGTTGTTTTTATTAGTGTTGTGAGCTACGTTCTTTAGCTAACTTCTAGAAAAGTCTAACGGTTATTTATAGTACTTTCTTTGTTCTAGACACATGCGGATATACAGACCCTTCTTTTGACATAGGGTTTCAAAAGGTTATCTTCGAGAGTGAATACCTAGGTAGTATTCTTATGTAAAAGGCTTTTTTGGAGAGAGCAGAGTGGCTTTTGGCTTTGTTGTACCAGAAAGGCACGTGCAGTAAGGTTATCGTCGCATAGTATCGGGCAAAAGTCGGGGTCTAACGCTTCAAGGCAAGGGCTACCCCTGAGCCATGTCATGTGCATGACGGACTTGAAGAAAAAAAAATCTTCACTTCGGTTCTGCTTTGACGAGTTTCGACACTCATCCGCAACTCACCAATGCTCAACTTTGCCGCTCTACACTCCGTTGTGCTGTATCGTCGACCCGACACATGTTCAATAATTGGCTTTTGCAATCTCGAGGACCAGATCCAATCCGCCATCTTCGTCCGATTTAAATTCGCTAGAGTCGTCAATACACATAATGCTGGCAGAGTCAGTTTCGATGACATAAAAAGATCCACCCACTGACCGTAATAGTGGTTTTCAATATGCAAATCCATCCCTAACTACAATCTTGATTTTTCAATTACTTTTAAATGCCGTTGATTCTATTTGTTACTATACTATCTTGATTCTTCAGAATAGTTTTGAATGAATGATCTATTGTGATTTCATTGCTCGAGCATATTTAAGGGTTCTCATTACACATCCAAGGTGTTAAGCAATCCTTGAAAATGTTGAGATGGTGACAGGAGTCATTGAAGGAGATCCACTCCCACACACATCCCACAATTCCCTCCATGGTGCCACCCGAGTCCCGAGCAGACAGCAACGGGGATATCGCCCGGAGAGATGCTCAAATCACTTCATAAACTGCGGAGGGCAAGCGAAGATCTCTCGTAATAGTTTTGCGAAGGTCCATCGTGCTTTCCTCATCCACGCATCTCTCAATTCTGCTGTATAAAAAGCAAATGTAATTCTTTTCTCCCGTATCTTTCTCGGGCATACTGGGTTAGTGACCATGCACTCCTCCCATACCTGTTTATAATTCTGCATTACCCCCTCCTCTATTCGACATATTTTCACTTTTTTCTTCTGGCCCACTTCTTGTACATACAATACTCTATAATTTATCCTTACCGTGCTTTCTTTCGCCCAGCACCAAAGGGACCCTCCGCCTCCAATATTCAATCTCCATTCCTCATAAATATCAAAAGCCATGAGTGCAATCCAAGATGACCAGAACAAGATCGAATCAGGTGATGCGAGCAAACAGTACACGCCGGACTCAGGTTCGCACCACACGCAAGACAAAGAAGGAATTATGGGAGAGACTGCCGCGCTAGAGGCGCACGGGCGTGCGAATTTCAGTCGACTCGGCTGGAAGCGGCTTACTGTTATTCTACTTGTGGAAGCTATTGCGCTCGGTGCTCTATCTATCCCTGGAGCCTTTGCTACGCTGGGTATGGTAGCTGGGGTGATTCTCACCGTTGGGGTTGGATTGATTGCCATCTACACCAGTCATATCATAGGGCAGGTCAAACTGGCGTTTCCACATGTGGCGCATTATGCGGATGCGGGGAGGTTGCTGATGGGACGGTTTGGGTACGAGCTGGTCGGGGCGATGTTTGCGTTGGAGCTGACGTTCTTGGTGGGATCGCATTGTCTGACGGGAACAATTGCATTTCTCAACTTATCGAACAATGGGGCGTGTTCAGTGGTGTTTGGTATTGTGTCGGCTATCATTTTGCTGGTTTTGGCAATTCCCCCTTCGTTTGCAGACGTAGCCATCTTGGGTTATATCGATTTTGTGTCAATTATGCTCGCGATTGGCATTACTATTGTGTCTACCGCTGTGGTATCTGGTTCCTCAGCTGGAGGATTGACCCAAGTGGATTGGTCTGCGTGGCCTAAGGAGGATCTCTCTTTCTCGGATGCATTTATCGCCATCACCAACATTGTCTTCGCTTACTCATTTGCCGTGTGTCAATTTTCCTTCATGGATGAGATGCACACACCGCGCGATTACATCAAATCGATCTGGGCACTCGGCTTAATCGAGATCGTCATTTACACGCTCACAGGAGCGTTAATATATGCCTTTGTTGGACAGGATGTGCAATCCCCTGCACTTCTCTCGGCCGGCAATCTCATGGCCAAAGTAGCATTCGGCGTCGCGCTACCTGTCATTTTCATTTCGGGATCCATTAACGGCACTGTGGTCGCGCGCTACATTCACGGACGCGTATACAAGGACTCGGTGGTGCGCTTTATCAATACTAAGAAAGGTTGGTTGACATGGTTGGGTCTCATAAGCTTCCTCACAATTATTGCATGGGTCATTGCCGAAGCGATTCCCTTCTTCTCGGATCTGCTGTCCATTATGTCGGCGCTGTTTGTCTCCGGCTTTACATTCTACTTCCCGGCTATGATGTGGTTTATGTTGATTAAGAAAGGGAAGTGGTATGCTCGCGAGAACTTGTTCCTGAGTGTTGTGAATGGGGCGGTATTCGTCATTGGGATTGTGGTTTTGGTGGGTGGGACGTATGCAGCAGTGGAAGACATTGTAAGTTCTTTTCTTTTGATCCTTACAGAGGAGCGGAGGCTGAAGTCGATCTTTTGGTTGCGTTGGTTCTCTTGAGAAGATGTATGGTTTGCTAATACAAAATTTGCAACAGAAAAACCAATACGCTGAAGGAACAGTCCGAGGAGCGTTTACATGCGCACCAATATCATAGGGGGTGAGGTAGGGTTGCATAAGTTTCTCTCAAACAATATGGGATGGAAACGCATTTATATCCCTCTCCTTTCCCTGCAAGATTTGAGATGAAGAAAGAATTAGAAGGATGGAAATAACACGACCTTAATGAAATTAATGAAGATTCACGTCAAATTCGTCAGTTCTGTGAGCTCCAACGTATTGTGCATTGTATCTTTCGAAACCCGAGAGAGATCCTTCTACCACTGCCAGTGTGAATTTCTTTGGCGTTTGTGGAGCAAATTGCTCGGTGGGTGAGATGTTGGTGTTGGGTGACGATATTGAGATTAGGAATTGGGTGGGTGGATGGTTGAATGGATGAATGAATGGTTCGTTGGATGTTGAAGGGATTGAATCGTACTAGGCTGCGCAAGGAGTATAGGAGGAGCGGACAATGGCCCTGCCGGGTAATTCGCAGATGACACGTTGGCGGAGCGGATAATTAAAATTCTTCCACGAGTCATTAATGGAGCGGGTAAAACCTCCGACGGATCTACGGCGGAATATACAATTTACAAATATTCGATCCCTGAGACATTTTTTTGCGCGGCCCGCATCACTTTTCTCACTCCTCTTCTATTCTCCTCGAAATCCATCTCACAAAGTCTCTCAGTCGCCCACTTGTTTGTCTATTCGTTCATATCACTCACTCTACCCATTCCAACTCTCATAATTCACCCAGCCACTTGCGCACTAATTTCATACTCAAATCTTCACATCTTCAAAACTCCAACGTTCTCTTCGTCCCATCCTTACTATTTACCTCTTCATTTCATGGCAATGTATTCTATGTTGTGAACTTGCCCTCCTGCCTGATGCGGTTTAGGGCTTTTGGAATTATAAGCATCTCATATCACATTGATTCATATGTTTTAATGTAATTGCGAAATTTCACTAGTCACTATCCCAGCAGTTCCTGATGAGATGTGTAAATTCCTCAAGAACTAAGCTCTGCATTCTCTACCTCCTATCCATTCACTCGACAAGGGAACTATGTGAAAAGACCATTGTATTACGGTCTCAACTCGTATCGTATTGTATTCGAAGAGTTGGATAACTTTCGCATGTATTTGTAGCTAATACTACACCGACCTATATAAATATGTCAATTCCAGTTCCCAATAAAATATTCAATCACTACAATTAAATGGATATCGGCATTTTGTATGCCTCTTTAGAGTTTGGATTGTACCAGGCCGGGCACAGTCAAAGTGTGTGGAATCCTACTTGGTGGACTATGTCACAGCCGCGGTACCTTTTGCAGCTATGCAGACTCAATAGCCAGTTTGCGATCGTTTGCAGATCTCACTAGAATCTAGCCACTTTTGATTCGGGTCTGGCGAAACAGATTTAACAGTCTTCTGTGTGAAAATGGTATCGCTTTCCGCAATTAAGAAACTTGGTGCAATGTTCTCGGGAACTAGTAATGCATTGCCAAAAGCTAGGGAAGGTAAAATTGCGGGCTTCTTGGATGCCTACGCTTGTGACTTGAGATTTCTTGTTCTTCCAATGATTTTCAACCTTTCTCACGCTTTTGGACATCTCCGGCTTGCTTTATTGCTTGGACCTTTATGTTTTCTTGTACTTCTGACACCTCTTGTTGGTCCATTTTCAGAGGAGACGATCCGATACCAGGAATTTGTCCTATTCCTAGATCCGCGAGAATCTCATCGACAGTCGAGAGGCTATTTATCGGAATTTTAATGATTATAGCAGTTTCCAAATAGCCGATCTATAATTAAGCTGCTAGAGCTAGTATGTAGCTCCAGATGTATTGCGTTGACGAGAATTACTCTTGCTTGGTGAATAATACCCTAAAAGAGCATATCGACTTTCTTCCAATTTGATTTCAGAATCAAGATTCGGGCCGAATTAAAATCATACTCGCATTCTGGGAAAACCATTAAAAATATCAAGTCTCGACTCGACTAATGACAGTGGCCACTTTCACTTTCTTCGGTACAATGGGTAATCATTTCCATTTATAGCTAATTGTTTTCTTTTTGTGATTTCCAACCTCGATTGAACTGTTCAATCTTTGCATTCTACGAAGTAGCTTGGGTTATCTCAATCCTCTGCTCAATAAAAAGAGTCTCGAGAACCAAAAAGCTTCTGTGTTCATCCATGACTATATGGAGAACATTTTAGTCGAGTTCGATCAAATAAGGCTAAAATTGGTGAAATCAACCGGTCAAATTAGCGATTTTCAATGTGAATGTGATTTTAACATAATACCAACAAATATTCTATATCTAACCTAAAACGCTGTCTACTCTATGGATATTGTACGCTGAAAGGTAGCAATAAAATCTAACATCATATCATACAAAGTCGTGAATCATTCAAGTACTCCAATTTCCCATTAATCTAATCACTCTGCCTCTCGCTTTGGCTTGCCTCTTCCATCTCTTTAGCTCTCTCGATCTGCGCCAGCGAACTTTCCTCCTTTCTATTAATCTTCGAAAATTCTAACGTATTTCTTGCCAATTCTTCCATAACAATCTTTTGCGCGGCACGAACTGGTCTTGCCGCGAACAAATCATCCATTCGATCAAGCGGAACGGATTTTGTTTCGGGGATTAAGAACCAGGTGAAGACGACTGCCAAGGCGGTGATTGAGCCGAAGAAAAAATACATTCCGAAACCATTCTTTCCCATGCTTGCTACCATGTTAGGAGTAACACGTGCAATGACGAAAGTCCAAAGCCAGTTTGCCATGGAGGCTCCGACCTGTCCAACGTTACGTGTAGCTTGGCTGAACATTTCTGCATTTACAACCCAGGGGGTACCGTTCCAGGAAGTGATATAAATGCAGGTCCAGAGATAAATCATAAAGATCGTGGCGATGCCTTGGGAATCGAGTCCTCCACCGGTATTGTCTTTGGCGGTTGCGATCAAGGCACCGATTACGAACATGAGGATTGCGCCGACGATACCGCCGGAGATGAAGAGGGTGCGGCGGCCAAGTTTATCGATCAAGATTGTGAGCCAGAGGATGGTCATGATACATTTCACCACGCCGAAGAGGCCTGTCATTAGTTCGACAGTTTCGGTACTAGTTACTCCCATGGTTTTGAAGATAGTTGGAGAGTAGTAGTTCTGGGCACAGGTCAGTATGAAGTGTTTGTGTCTAGGGTGGAGTAATGTAGTATGTTTTACTTACGATAGCGTTGATACCGGCGAAATTTTGGAGAACGAATAGCATGTGTCCAAGGAATAATCTCCATAATACTTTGTTATCAGAAAATGCCATGCGAAGTGGTTTGATGAATCCTGTAGGTAAATCATTGATTTGAAGATCCATCATCTCAATCTCCTCCAAAACATAAGTGTCATCGGGGTTGAGTTGTCGGATATAGCACAGATTCTCAACACCCTGTTCTCGACGCCCTCGAGTCCACAACCAACGTGGAGTTTCTTTCAAGAATATGAGACTACCGATAAGAACGATACCGGCGGGAATTAATTGAACAGCGAATGGAATGAGCCACTGGTTACGACCATATGGCACACTTTGAGACATTCCGAAATTGATCCAAAACCCCACAAGACCGCCAATCTGCCAGCCGAGTTCGTAGGTGCCGACAAGACGACCACGGATAGCGGGAGGTGCGATTTCGGAAATGTATATGGGAACCTTTGATGGGTAAGCATGGACCCCGGATAGGAGATTAGAGTTGACCTACAATCATGGTACACCCCCCCACACCGAAACCCGAGATGACTCTTCCAGCATACATCGGGCCGATATGACCACCAATCGAAGCAAACGTAATACAAACACCAACAATAAATACACTGACAAACGTCCATAAAGTGATTCGTCTTCCAGCATAGTATGCAGTACCATAAGCAAATATAGAACCAAAAAAGGCACCAGCTTGGAACAACGATACAATATTCGCCTGGATTAAGCTGGCACCCGAATCGCTCAACTTATCAAGTCCAAATTCTGCCTTGAAAGAATCAAGATTGACGGTTGTTCCGATGAAAGATGTTGTGTATCCAATCATACACGCGGCAAATGAAGCTGTCATAGCCGATACATAGACGCGCCAATTGTAAACGCTTTTTGGCGTAGGCCGATCCTCGACCATAGTGAGGATACCCATCTTCGCTCGATCGTTTGATGTGTATGTGAGAGATAGCGACGGGGAGACAAAGAACAATTCAAGAAAACGAGACGCAAAATGATATTGATCGAAAAAAGAGGCGGAGGAAAGTCTTTTCATACTTAATGAGTGGGTCCAGAGATTTCCGCTCCGAGGGCTCCATACCTACGTCTGTACCACATCACCTAGTATGCTTACATTTTTGTATTGGTATTAAAAATGGAGATGATCCCCAGGAAAGTGTTCTTTATACAGACATGAGTATATTCTGGGGAATAAGGGTTATGCATTTTTGCGTGTGGAGTAACCTTACTCCGCGCGGAGATATCGCAAATCTCGCAGGTGGTTATGCGTTGCGTCAAAAGTGTGGATACGAGATGGGAAGAAGATTTATCCTTTTTTTCTCAAAAGATTGTGAATCTCGGTTGAGTCTCGCTTAAATTCCTCAGTTTCGTTGGTTTACTGTGGATCTTCATTCGCCGTCATTTCCGATAGTATGTTTCCGGGGGTCGGTTTATCTGCGGTTAGTTACATGTGTCAAGTGCCGAGCCAAGAAACAGGCAGGGTGCTGCAGATCCATCTGTCAATTGTATGGACATACATAATGTACAGTTGGTGATTGGCCACAAAGCTTTCATGTTGACCTTCTCCAAGTCTCACCTATCCTCCTTTGGGGGTCCGGGACGGGTGAGGCTTGCTGGCGCTCGCCATCAGGAGCAGGAACAGTGTACAAGATTTTTTTCAGGATGGGAGTGGAGAGGGAATGTCCAAATTGAACTCGGAAATGGAAAGGAGTAACAAAGCTTGGAAGGGACCGGAACAACGGTTCTGGTTCAAGGTAGTCATTCAGCCAAAATCACGTGTAGAGTTTTCACGTGATTTTTCACAACCCCCATTTACCTCTTGTTTCCTCATCCCATAGTCTGGACGAGATAGTTTACTTGCAATTATTGAAGACATGAAAGTAAAAGCAGTTTTGTGAAACTCTTACGAAGTTCGCAATAGAAAAGAACTAGGAGAGGAACAGGAGGGGAGAACTGGGAACGGAAAAGTAAAACATTGCCAATTCTAGAATTCAACCTGGGGCCCCACGTTATATGAACTACTGGATATTCTGTTCCAGCAAATCGACCGGTTAGACTCGAACCTATGACTAGATCTTTCTTCTAGAATTCAACACTGAAGTTTCCGAACTCTATTGTTACACGACATGTAAGCGGATTGGAGTATGTACCGTGAATCCGTGATAGACATGAAGATGACGTATACTGTTAAAGGATGCGAGGCTTGAAGTACAGTGCAGTACAACTTACGGGAAATGGCTTACATTCGTCAAACGTGGTCGCCTCGCTGCCCCATATTTTCTTATCATGGAAGTTGTTAAATGTTAATCCGATACTCGTATGGATGAGTCGGATATCCTTTTTAGAATTAACATGACTTTGCATGAGATAATACATATGAGCATATAATAACGATAGCGATCTACCTTGATATCTGTTATTACTGCACAATTACATGATTTTATATATAATTATCCCACGGGCCTCCCCCTATGTTTTTCTTTTCTTTATAGTTTAGACTCCCAGCCTCCTATTGATTATTACCATTACATATACATAACTTATTACATGCTCCTCCACATATACCGGAGTCCAAATCAAGCCATTAACACCTTCTCCATATCAATCAATCCCCAAGAATTCTCTCAGCTCCAGAGTTCCCCACAGAAGCGACTATTATCTTTTCCGACTCCTTTCTTTTCACCAGTGGTTGACTTTTGAATGTCACCATTACTTTCATCTATACCACAGACTTAATACATTTGTACACCAGCCAGAAACTGGTTCCAAGATATTTATTGCTTATGGTTGTGTTATCGGGTGGATCAGATACAACACGATAGGATTATATAATGCAACGTAGAAGATATAGTGGTACTACCGACGTACATCTTGAAAAATTATTTCCACAGGTATGAAACATATTCTGGTTCGCATCCGCACCGCTCCTCCATCTCAGCCGCCTTATATCTATCCTCATCGTTCTTGGTTTGGTACCATATGTGTTGCGGCGCTTTTCCATGAGCACAACCATCTCGTTGCTGTGATTCCCTATAGAATATTTCTCTCGATCAAAACCAAGCATTTAATTGGAAGTATAGATATATGCTGTGCTTGGGTGTTTCTTATTTCAGTGTTATTGTGGTTTCCCCGTTTGAATTTCCCATGATGAGCAAGCACACGGGGCCGATTGGGAGGGCCATGCAACATTTATCTCAGCAAGCACACAAATTCGCCTGCTGTGAACGTCGATTAGAGATTCACAAGCATTGAGCCGCAAGCGCTCTACCAGGGCTTGCATGGGTCCTGGGCACACTGAACAGCATACATGCCACCAAATCAGCTTGAAACTTTCCAAGCATTTTGTATTGAAAAAATTTAGGGCGGCCCGAGCGCAGACAAAAACATGAAAACCCCGACTTGGATGGATTGGAAAGTGGTGCTGTGACCGAAGAAATGTACAAGTGAGACTCTAGCTGGAGCAATTCGGCATCTGAGGTGAATACAGTCAAACAGTCTGATGGCACTTGCGAGATCACGCTTCCAACCCTCTGGTTGCACAAGCCTTAACAAACTCTGAGCTGGCTAGCATATAAATTACAGAGAGACGAAGACACCAGGATCCCGTGAGTCGCACTATCAAGTCTGATGTGCAGAGAGACTATATAAGCAGTCTCATAGAGCTAGTGTCTATTGACGAAGGCTTCCGGGCAATTGAGTTGTCCAATTTCTTCCCAATGGTAAATTTAACTAAGTAAGGATATCCCCGTCTAGAAGAGAAGCTTGAGAAGGACTGATATCAGCAAGTCAGGTTTTGACTCGGAGGATCCTTCAGTATCTGTGTCAGATCAAGAAACATCATTTTCGCATCTCTGGCTGTCTTTCTATGGTCAAACTCCTCACCGGTGAGTGAGCTGGTCGCAGAGAATAAAATAAATTGAAGGGAAAGTGAGCGTGCTTGCTTACTATTCTACGGAAGGTAAAAGAAAATCGATATGCTCGCATTTACTTGGAAAGGATACCAAAAACAGTCGCGTAAAAGACTTAAGAAGTCATCTGAAAGCCTCAAGGCAATTTAGCATATCGCTTCATATTATCACAGCAGAAGACGTAGAGAAACGTGTTTTTTAAATCAAATCAGCCTGATGCAAAATTTACACTCGAATCTGTAAAGCTTCTCATGAGTTTCCAAAAGGCTGAAGGTTATTTGAGTGTAAGCTCATAATAAAATAGAATAATCATGTGTCCTGCTAAGATATCAGGCTGGAATGTTAGCAACCTATTGAGACATGGAAGTTTTTCCACTGCTGCACACAGGAAAATCTAATGACCCAAATTAACCCTTTAATACTCCTCATTGATACACCTTGCCGATTTTCCGGAAAGATGAAAGATTCATCCTGGTAGAAAAAATAAAACAATAGCTAGACTATTACTACTGAAATGAATTAGTTCATTTTAAATATCTCACATGCATGACGATAGATGCAAAAAAAAAGCAAGAAAACGAAACAACACAATTCTAAAATCAAGTTTCCCTCGTAGCTTGAAATTCATTTTTCAATGTGCCATATCAAGACCACGCGATGCTGTACCTGACTGTCATTCAATACAGGCGTACAGCGCAATTGAGTGATGGAACCGTTCTTGATACAGCTGCACATTCTGCGATTAACTCATCAAGATGAATGCTACATCAAGCTTGAGCTATAAGAGCATCTTCAGACTATAGAATACGACTTACGTTTCTATTAACAATATAATTAAAGACTTCATCAATCTCGACATACTCGACACCGACAACTCGAAGGGAAACAAAAGTCCTCTTCTTTTCATTCAACATCTCGTCAATTACTATTCTCAACCCACTATCAGATCACTCGACATCATGGGTTGCAAGAACAATCGCGGAAGAGTCGAAGCTCCTCGGGCTGCAGCAGTCTAAAGTTAGAATAAGGTATTAGCGGAAAAGCAACGAGTAGAGAATTTGGAGCTCGAGAAAGAAAAGGCTGAGCAGCTCATTCAAACTATTCATCAACACGATTCGATGGCCATTGAACAGGTTGGTGACACTAAGCACAGGATTCATTGTCGATATGCCATCGCTTCTCAAGGCATTACCTGTGTATGCTACATTCATCTTTGACATTAAGATTCGACTCTATGCGCCCACACAACATAGATCACGTGCTATTTACAAGAATCGAGTCGCAAATCTGAAGAAGATGATTGAAGCTCTCAACAATTTCAACATCAAGAAATTGAAGGTTATCATCGGGCTCAATGATGATTACTCCTACCAGATGAAGCTAGCCCCGCCTTTGTCCATGGACTGAACTTTCAGAGATGGGCCATGACTTCCCACATGTTTGATCAACAGGGGGAAACTGTTGCCAAGGCTGAAGTTACGAGAGGTAGTTCGTATGGTCGTAGACTACGCGGAGTTTATAAAGCAGAATTTGAGGCTCAGTAATGGAGGATCAGTGGTGACTGACGGTTTGAGGGGGCTCATGTGTTATTGGAGGAATAGTTCTGGATAGGGCAATTAATGTACAAAATCTCAGTACTACAGAGTTTGTTCTTTTCATAAGGTATGGCTATCCTAGCCGGTTCCACCTTTATACCGCACGTGTCGGGAAATGCACACCTCTATCAAATCTCCTTGAAAATTAGAAGTGTCCTCGGTGATTGATTATTAATACGTGTTCAAAAACTAGTGTGTTTTATTTTGTCTTTTGTTACTAACAGAATATTAATGCCTGGCCATGATGAATGAAGCATGCCCATTTCGCCCTGAAGCGATTCTTTTCGAATGGCAAAAAACTGTATGGCGTCTTGAAAATCGTTGGATAGTTGTGCTTGAGGAACTCTATTACTGGTAAGAAAGTTGCCAGTGCTAGATGAGCTCAAGAGGAAATGTGAAGGTATCTTTGTAACAAAGGTCGTCGACATCAATGGGCTTGAGTTTTCAGCGAAAAAATAATAAAGCTGATGTACAAAGTTTTGAGTCTCAGAAAGGTCATCGAGTCCAGAATAAATTTATGAATTGTATCTGTGGGATCACTGAGGAGAGTAATGATCATTTAAATGGAAGGATAACTCCACGGACCGTGGTGTCTCTTTCTCCATGTAAAACTAATACATGCGAGTGATCGAATTTCAGAGGTAATTTGGAAGATTATCGTAGTAACAGAATAGTTCTGATAAAGTAATATGAGAAATCCATGTTTAAACGTGGGAATAATTGGCGGGGGTACTGAGCCTTTTTAGATATCAAAAGCAATCATACATGATCCAAATAAGATTCAGATAGTATGTTACCGAAATATCCATCATTACACCGCATTTGATCTCATCTTCGGAATGCCGGTCCATAGTTGGTTCTATATTCTCCAATTGTTCATTTCAACTCATCCTGAGCCAATACCTGTTGAGCCCCCTGTTTCCGCATTGACACTGGATGCGATTCCAGGAACATCCATCACCTCATAATAGTAGTTAAATCTAGGCCACCACTGCCCATTTAGAAGATAGGGGTAATATGGTTTGCCATTCTTGTTGATTTCCCGAACATGGACATCTGAACCACGTGTAGCACCATTTTCATAGACAGATGTTGTGGGTTGGGCCAACCATTGTATGTATAGTGTTGGTATCCAGGTCGGTTTTCAGGCGATCAACTGGTTTGAGGATCATAGAGCTTAAAGTTATATTTGTTGTTGTTATTGGGATCGAGAGTCATTATATAGGTGTTGTTTTCTGCGTCGTAAGCTACTGCGGGCTTGGCAAGACTGTTGTATTCACGGAGATCCTCCCACTAGGACAAGAGATATGGTCAGGCGCACCTTACAAATTATCAGATTTTCGCAAAATTTACCTCTGTCCAAGTACCGATGTCCACAGTACCAGTATAAGATCGGTGGAATGATTTTTGGGTATTGGAAATGGCCCAAATATCGAACTCTGTATGTGATTTACGAGTGATCTAGAAACACAATCAAATTATCATTAACGTGATATTAGTACCATCATTGATGAAAATGGCTTACAAGCGGTTCTCCAGCAAATATTAATGTTCCACCAAGCTTTTGTTGTATAAAATAGCTGGTCCCCTCGCTCTTTGACCATTGCTTAGCGTAAAGTAGATCCCCTGCACTGTATAGCCCTACGTAATGGACTGCCGAGCTAATTCCATTGTTTGTCGGTTGCGCAGTTGATATGTGAGATAGATCGGAAGCGAAAGCATGCTTTGTAAAGAAGTTTCGACATGAGGGCGGGGTATCTCTGAAAGAGCTACTGTAACTATTACAGAGTTCAGCCTCGGCATTATGTAAATAAAACAGACATTAGACTCACCTATAACATACGGGCCCTGACCATTTTGTTACAGTGTACACAATTCCCTGGCTGTCTTGCCACTGTCCCACAGAGACGAGATTGTCCCGTTTCGTAGTTGGTTTTCCAGCCATCATTACTCATCCATCCATAACCAGGAATATAGGTGTACTTCCAAACTTATCCGCTTGCGTCAGTAATATATATGTTTGGATCAATTCGCCAAGTACAGGGGCAATCGATGTAGCTCGAAAGCCTCCGGCTTCAAAATTGGGGCTACCAATCCTATATGCATCATTAACGAGAATGGTCTCGACTACGATGACCTGTCCACCCCCGCATTCAGAAACGCGATAGAGTCGGTATCTGTTGCGGATAATGCGACAACATTTGGGTCGTAAGCCGCTTTGACTATCTGTGTTCTCAGTATCAGTAAGAAGGGCATTGGGAAGTTTGGCGTAGATAATTGCAAAAAGGCTTACAGATAGCCATGTCATGAAAGCCAAGAGACACATCTCTAGTATTCATAAAAACAGTGTCAAAATAGGGTTAACAAGCTTTATGGGTATATCGAGAGAACGTTTGTAGCTATTCAGCAGTCTAATGAGAGCTTGGACCGCGTTGAAAAAAACGCTGGGTATCGCTCATTTAAATAATCAAGCAATGTAAAGTCAAGAACAATAACAATGATGTAGCTCGCTTACAAATCTTCAAGCAAGTAGTCAGGATCGAATCGACAGATCGTCATCTTGAGAAACGAGCTGAGATCTATGCATGATTCGGCTGGATAAACGTTGAAGAATCGTCCCCAGACAGCCACGTTTCAGAAATGCCGTTTTTGTGATTTGCTGCATTAGCGACTTGTCAAATGCTGCATCTACCTGCCCGAATAGAGTTCTCGGCTGCATGTGGGACTTGTTTGTGGATGCCATAATGTGCAAAGCCAGCTTCTTTTAACTCTACTGTTTCGATGTTTTTCAAGGTTTTCGTGATAGACAGTAAGAAATCTCGAGCTTGCATGTAGCTGACTTGCTAGCTTATGCTCTGTTGTCAAGATTAAGTTCGGAACCTCAGATTCCGGGTCACTTCAGGCATAGAGCTTCATCGTGAGATGGAGGCGAAGAACAGTATGGCTTTGCGAGGTGGTTCCTACTGGCTGGCGGTAGGTAGGGTATTACCCCTGCAGATGAGATGACATCACTTCAGAGATTATCGAGTAGATTTACATGCAAGATAAACTTCAAAGGCTTAGGTGTTCTCCTTAGGGGAGCGGCTTCCCTCTAATTTCAAAGAAAACTCGATGGATCATCATTAAAGCCTGGATTCCCACCACCGATGCTTGTATTAATAACCCGCATCAGTTTTCTCAACCCCTCATCTCATGTCGAATGTTTGCCAGCAAAAAGGAAAAAGAGCAATTGCATCATTCTTTCACCCTTGGTGGCATGTCTCAGCTGCGAGACCTGGGGTGCGCATTGGACAACGTCTTGCAACAGGGGCCAGCTCAAATCTCTGATCCAAACACCGATAATTCAATTGCTCCAAGACGATTATGGCTGGTCCCACCAAGATTTGAAATACATCGACTACTCGTACACCAAATTACTTCATCATTGTTATGAGAAAGCTTCGCATATCCGTGTCAAAGATGCCTCAAATCGTAGACAATCCAACGGCAACATCACTCAAAACGGTGGCGGCATGTCCTATTCTTGATTATTAAAAGCATGAGTCAACGCAGCTGTCCCTGCTAGATAGATGAGGGGTAAACAAAATGAGAACGTGAACCTTGTTCGTGATTGTTATTACATCCTTAATGCACTTGCATTAGATTGAAAACAAACATACGATTACCTCTGACTGTAAGAGATTTCGCTGGACAAAAAAAGACCTTCCAAAACAAGGTTGAAATCAGAAAAGATGTCAAATCTGGTGAACATCATAATCATACTGTGGATGTAATGCGGGACTCGTCTACGAAGGATCCTTAACCTTCCCACAACTTGGCAGCACAGCTCTCGGAAATGCGATGAGGGAAAAATGTAAATACAATGACAGAAGAAACATACCAGCCAGTCTTCCCTTCTCATCATACTTGCATCGATTACCAAGCGGGGTGAATTTAGATTTTAATCATATCGTACTTTTGTGATCAGCCGAGATGTGACTAGAGGAAGTGGTCAGAATATCTTACCCATGGCATATTCCGAGCTCCGTAGTAATATCATGAAGGGGAACACCTGAATGGTAGATGAATCGTTAGATGAAGGAACATGTCCCTAGATACTCCGTTGAACGTTCTCCGTCAACAAGACCATTGTTTGATGGATATTGGTTGTTACATAGAAACGGGTTAAGGTTACCGGTGACAGACAAGTGTTATCTTACCAGCTTCTTGCCAAAGATCCAAAGGGTTAGCCTAAGTAATTGCAATGAGATTGCTCCCCAGCTTTGCGCAAATGCCCGGCGACTTCATAGAAGAGAGATTCATTGCTTCGAAAAACAAGAAGGTACTATATATGTCTGTACTTCGTAAGTGGAAGGTTCGGCTTGTGCTGTGGCCTAAGGTTGATCAGAAGACATGAGACATCGCGTCAGGCTGGCCCCACCAAGCCAGAGAGATATGTTGCGTACAGCAAATCAATTAACCTCGATTCATTGCAACGAAAAGCCAGGTATTCAATGATCAAGAACTCATTCAATGGAAACCCTTCGCAGATTTCTGATAATCAATTGATACAAGGTTTATGGCAGATCAGTATCGAAATCGAGATTGAAATCACGACAAAGAGAAGGACGCTGGTGAATTGAAAACAAACGCGATACCACTTCTGGATTCCCTGCAGACAGACCACAAGAAGAGCTATTTCAAGCTGATAGAAGGCAATAATTGCGACAGGAAGGAGAGACGATTGATTGGCCGTATATATCTATATTACGAAGGTGCGAGACTGGTCGAACGCGAAGTGAGCGAGATAATTCGTCTCATCAACGCGCCATGCAAATGTACGAAACTCTGAAGAGCAAACACATAAAGAGATGGGATAAAGAAGGGACTCACATGGATATATGCGGCATACTATTGAAGCACATCAGCAGTTACCGACAGCGATACTTGTAATAAGAGTTTGCATATGGCTTGAGGTAGTATCCTCTTGGAAGTTATGCGGCAATTGGACATGCGATGTACTCTGTACTCTTTCTGATCTTGGAAGTACTCCAGATCAATCCAGGGAATGAAGCCAATGCGAATAACAAGATCTGAAGACTCAATTCTTCCTATCCCAAGAATTTTATGGTACATTATCTTTGCAAATCTTGGCGCTTTTCAATCAATTCCCCTTCGATGGCAACAATTTTGTTACAGCAAAATTGTAGATTTATTGCCTATATTCAAGGTAATTATACCGAGTTTTTCCCCTTCTTTACCTTTACCATCTGTCAAATTATCTACCATAGCTCTCAACTCAAAATTTCCTAGCCCTTGGCCAATTGCGAAGATTTCAATGCGTGAAACTCATTTTCATAAATATGCAATGTGCCTGCAATCGTTCTCAATAAAACTCATTGTGCGACAGTACACATTCCACAGGTCAAATCCGAAAACAAATCCCGCCACGCCTTTCCTCTTATCGTCAGAGCCTGGCGTGAATCAGTTGATGGATTCATGTTGTTTGCAGTCGGATGATTCTCCTCTCACTTTTTCTACAGGAGACCAGTAAAAAATTGTATCCTTTCGGTCAAATATTCCAAAGACAGTGAGCTTGAAAATTCCTCATTTCGTACATTGCGAGTTCATTCCTTTGAACTTCCTATTCTGTCCTTCATTCCAGCCTGCATTTCTTTCCCATTCCATCTAGAAACAAACATTGACACACCAACGTTCATTCATAAATGTTGTTTACCCACTTGATGTTATCTGCAGCAATTGCTTTTCACATGTAATCATGTCCGCTCATCAGGCAACGAATGCAGTCAATGGCACCAATGGAACTACGACGGTGAATGGGCCCATAGCCAAGGATGCAAAGATGGTTAATGGTACAAAAGAGAAGAAGCCAAATATTTTCCGAAGGATAATTCGAAGACCCAAGAAGACCAATCCAAAAGCCGCAGGCACAATCGTTACAACACCTGCCGAAATCAATGAAGCGACAGCAAAATTGTTCGCGAGGCTCGAGGAGAGGTATGTTATTATCTATGTCTTGCGTTATAAAATCAGACGAACTCACATCTTTAGGTACGCGGATAGTTTTCGTGCTCAAGGATTTGAAGCAGATCGGCCATTCATACCACGTAAATTCGAGACACAACGAGCACTTTATCAATGGGCGCTTCCGGGAACCACAACTCCTTCATACCCACCTCACCTCAAATGGATACCTCTTGATGATCGGGTAGGACTACTCAAAATCTTCAACCTCAAACGATTTGTCGATGTTTCCGTGTCGCTTCTCCCCAAAATTCCACCAGAGATCTCAAATCTCCTATTTGGAGATCCTTATAATGGAACCACAATGATAATGTTAGAAGAAAGAATGAAAGCTTTACAAACAGAAGAGAAAAACATTGGAACTGAACCAAGTATTGGATATCGTAAGGATTGGTATAGTGATGCAGTGTTCGCTCAACAATATTTTACTGGTCCTAATCCCTCATCTATTGCTCTGGCCGGTCAAACCTGGCTCGATAGGTTCAAGAAATCTGCTTTCGATCAAGGCAATAAGGAAATGCACAGTCTCCTAGAGACCTTCAATTCAGAATCCTTCTATATCCAAGATTGTAGTTTTTTCCGCGAATGGGCCGGCGCATCCCCCGACACTGTTCTCAAATCTGACAACGGTAAAAGATATGGGTGTGCCTCCGTAACATTGTTTCATCTGAATGCAGACGGCGATCTTCATCCCTTGGCCATTGTCTTGGACTACAAAGTCAGTATGGAACATTCGGTCACGATCTTCAACAAGAGAATCAATCCAAAGGATCCAAAAGAAAATGAGCATGAGGATTGGCCATGGAGATACGCCAAAATGTGTAGTTTAGTTTCTGACTGGACACATCATGAGGTGACATTGCATCTCAATGATTGTCATTTTGTGGAGGAGGCCAGTGCTGTGGCTGCTTATAGAAGCTTTCCCAGTGATCATATCGTTTACAAAATCTTGGAACCTCATTGGTATGTGTTTCCTAGTTGTCATTCATTCTCGTGAACATCCAGGGTTACTCCAAATGGCAATAGCTGATTAAGCATAACAAAACAGGTTCAAAACTCTTTCTCTGAACGCCGCCGCACGTGAAACTCTTGTACCACAGGTTGTCACCAGGATCAATGGCTTCACTGAACAGCAGACCTACGACTTCCTCCTCAGCTCTTACAAAAACTTCAACTGGACTGGAAACTACGTTCCAACTTCTCTGATTACCCGTGGCTTCCCTCTATCGGCCCTCAATGACAAGAAAGATCGCAGATTCCACAACTACGCATACGGGAAAAATATGGCTATCTTGTGGCCCATCCTGTTTGACTTTGTTTCTTCTATGCTTTCCACATATTACACAGGTGACGCCGACGTCGCAAAAGACACATGTGTATCAACTTGGTGTAATGAGATGCAATCTCCAATGGGTGGCCAGATGTCTACTTTCCCTGGCATCAAAACTCTCAACGAACTGACAAATGCGATAACCATGTGTATCCACATCGCCTCACCCCAGCATAATGCTATCAACTACCTCCAGAATTACTACATGTCTTTCATACCCAACAAACCGCCTTCTCTCCAACAAGCTCTTCCTGGAAGTCTCAGTGCCCTTGAGAGATACAGAGAAGCTGATGTCATCAATGCTCTCCCCATCAATGATCCATCGGTCTGGATTCAAGCATCGCAACTCCCCTACCTGCTCAGCTACAGAGTCGCAGAAGATCAAACACTATCCGCTTATGCCAGGGAACTGAGAGACGCCGCAATTAATCCGCGAGGAAGATTTGCCGGACCAGGGGATACGGGAAGGAGAACAGACAAAGTAAAAAACGCAGCCGAGAAGTTGTTGCTTGATCTCGACGTCGCGGCAAGAAAGTTCGAGGAGAATAGCGAGGCGATGAGTGAAGGGATTGCTCCGTATTATGTTATGAATCCTGGGGAATTGGCTGTTAGTGTGCTGATATGAGAATGGCTCGGCAAATTACAGTTCACTGAAATCCATCGTTCTTGTTTGTTCTTCTTTGGATTCTTTTCCTTATTTCGGTTCTGTTCGTTTACTCTTTGCTGGGCTGAATTTTGATCTATATCCAGGCGTGGGTTTTTCGTTTGAAAAAGTAATGGATTTGGGCAGATTGCATGTTAGGATTGGTGGGAATGTTTACTTTAGGTGATACCTCAAGATTAGAAAGAGCGTGGCGTTGCGATTCTTTTCATGCGAGAAATTCTAGTTTCTTTAGGCTGCATTTCCAATAGTCCCAGTGATAGTTTAATTATAATTGAGTCTATTTTTTCATCGATTTTACATTATTTCTCCCCTTGTATTTAGCTCTGTGTCGTGATTCACCATATGTCTGCAATGGCACATCAGACACGTAATTTCAAAAGCGCGAAAAGGGAAACGAGACCCATTAAGTTGCAAGGAGAACTAACTATTATCTACAAACTTAACGAAATAGTGTGCAATTATCCATATGAAATTTCCACATCGACCGCCATTACAAGTTACAGATCATCCACCTATGGGATAACAGTTCCCAACCATGGAAGTGATAGATCTGTAAAGAAACTAGCTCCCTTAATGGTAGTAGGAGCACTAGAAGCCGTAACATTGCATCGAGTTGGAAGATCCCCTGCGGCGTCGACTTTACTCTTAATCAGTTTCGAGTAATCGCTAAGAAGACAGCTGGAACCGGGTCCAGATCGACATGAAGGCACTGGATAGACAGCATCATTGAGAAGAATGCGAACATATGTTGCATTTGTCGAGGCTGACGAGCCCGCATTCTTGTACGAGTATGGTGCTGAGCGTGTTGAGTTAGTCAAGGTTGAGTTTCCAGAAATGGCGCAATTCAATCGTTCGAATGCGACTGTGCCTCTCATGGTAACGAAATAACTCGAGATGTATTTGTAATCGTGTGGAATTGTCGTTCCGTCGCCCAGAGATTTGGTGTTGTCCCATACGCCAGTTGCGGCTCCGAGCTCGGTGATCTGTCCGTCGTTCATGAAAGCAGTGAGAATGCTGGGTAATGTATAACTGGACCCGTTGAGAAATGTTCCGTTGGTACCTGGACCTTGTTCTAGGAGTCCGACAAGGGAATTGAGATATGGAAGCATCATCTTAGAAGGCAGATCTTCACCTGGGCCGGTGCCATAATAATATCTCAAATCTTGGGCATACTCATATTGTTTGAGTTCTTCGTCCGTAAACACTCCACACCACGGAGATAGTGTACCTGTGATTTGAGATTCGAAACCACAAAGATAAGGCATGATAGATACATCCGTGGTTGAGAAATTCAGATTTCCCTTGATTAATGACTGAAGGCGGGCGTGAATGGGAGGAAGGTAGATTGAATTCCATGTTACCTCTGGAGTCGTTCATCAGCTATATTCGAAGCGACCGAACCACGCATACAGAATATGCTATCAAAAGAATGTAGAAAACCGAGACCTACGTTCTGTCCCACCATTACCATCCACAAATGACGGACACAAATCACTTGGACTTAAGCTGTCAAAAAGTGCCGATTCGCTTCCCGTTGAGTTAATAGTAACTACCATGCCAAGGTTACTTGCTGTAGACCCCAGAAAGCCCCTCACAAAGTTTTGCGCAGTCTGGACAACGCGGGGATACAGGTTCGCCCAGCTTATGAATGGCTGGCCGTAAGAATAAAGATCTGGGTAACGAGTCCTCAATTGATAGCCAAGATCGTAGGCTTCTTTGAATCCCGTGGGGCTTTCTTGGGCTATTTGAAGGGTAGGATTGGTCAGAACTGGCTTCCATGATTTTAGGAAAGCCAAAGAACCAGTGGAAGTAAAATTCGCTGCTTGTATCTCAGCATATAAGGAGGTCCATTGTGCATATGCTCCAGAATCCGGATATCGACTTCCGTGCCTAACATTATACGCTACCTGATCAACATAGCAGTTTTCAGGCACGTAATTGCTAATGCCGTTGACATTTGGTCCTAGTTTTGTTTAGCATATAAACCAATGTATTGAAGGAATTTATATCGATCGAAATGATACTTCGATCACCAGAGAGTTTTCTCACGAAAACTTACCAGTGAAATAGGGACTGTTGGCCCCTAAACTAGTTAATGGATTGATGGCACTTGAACTTCGCGGAAGCAAAATATCGTCCTCTGGCGCCAAAAAGATGGTTGCTTGGGCAAAGGAAGTGAGAAGAAAGCTTGTGCTAGCAAGAGTATTTGAAGGAATGAACTTCATCATGTGCTACTCTCCAATGGATCAATATATGCGAAATAAATTGTTGAAGGCGTAAAGTAGGGTTCTGCAAAGACAAAGCTCACAGACAAAGATATCACTGAGTAAACAATAAAAACGAGTTCATCAGCCAGAGCAGTTGATATACATATTTATAAGTACACTTTTTTTCAGTCAGGAGAACTTGGCAATTCATCCGACTGGATGATCTATGAGAAGTGCCATAATTAACCCATAGGATACCCCGAAGAAGGGGGCTGGTCAAACAAACAACGGTTTTCCACTGGGAATATATCCATAGTAGCAGAAAATTCATGGATGTTCACATTTCAAAATGGAGTAATTTCCTCATCAGCCTGATACCGGATTTCTTTAATCGTATCTAAAAACACGTGGGAAACGCAAAATATCCATTGGCATTTGTTTTCATATCGCCGGAGATGATAACCAAGAATGGGGTACTGAGCGGGGATGGTGGTGTCCACACCCCTGACGGTCATTGCTTTCGCAAAATTCAATCAGCGAAAAGGATGTCGAGAGGCGCACAAAAAATTGGGTGACGTTGTTAAAGTTTCACGAAATCGAAAGGAAAATCAGGCAAACTTATACTACGGTTGGAAAAAAAGTCATATCATATTTAGACGTACTCCACCTTACGCCCCAAGGTATCCTCCGTAACTCCATTCCAGCCACATGACTATGTACATTTAAAAGAATACATTTCTGTCAATATCCTATTGTTTGGTCAAGACCAACGGGATCTCGGATTGTTTTCAATTCGCGAAGGGGTCAAAATGATCTGTACTGGCATGGAGCTCTATTTAGCTCTGATGAAAATATCTGCTCAAGTATCAATCCTTCTCACTCCCATACCCCCCAAACCAGTGGCAGTTCCAACTACCTTTCTATTATCACCAAAATTGTGTAATCTCTCCCCTATCAGATAGACTTCATCCTTAATCTTCTGCTTCCATCCCTTGACCATCTGTGCCGCTTTCCACAAGGCACCAACCATCCCCAACATGACCAGGACCATGGGATATGCGTAACGATTCACATATATCAATTCTAGTTCTGTAGAATTCCTCCACAAAGTTTTGGTTGCAAATTGAGCAAGCATGTAGGGAAGAGCAAGAGCTATGGAAAGTACAAGGGTAGCTGGGAATATAAAAGACCTCGTAGCTAGCCTTGCATCCGGATCCCAATAACCATTTCGCGTGATTGCGCGTAATGCTTCTGCTGGCCGGCTGCCCTCATGCCACAAAATAATTCTTGTGGTCAATTTAACGTACAACAATCCTAATGTCCAACTTTGCACAAAATGGACCACATGTCTCTCGTCCTCCGAGAAATAAGTATGCATTGGGATGATGAAATAGAATTCCACGAGGAAAGCGAAGAGGGTAGGAAGTACAAGGATGAAAGCAGTGTATGTCCAGACAATGCGGGCTATGCGAAGAGCAACCTTTCCTACACGGCTAAATATTATGCTTGGTGTGTCTCCGTCAATATAGAATGAGTTCCGAAGTGCTACCAAACCTGTTGGGAGGTGTATAAGAGCATAAAGTGCGCTTCCTAATATGTATATTCCAATGGAAAACGCATAGACATCGTTCTTACGAACATCCGCTGGAATAACCTTTGCAAAAATATACCTTCCGAAAACCAGAGGGACAATGGTGAAGCATACTCCTGTTGCTGCAGCGAAGAGCCAGATGGAAAGAATAAATGTAGAGATTCTTAGACGGAACCATGGCGGTACGTAGACCAGCTTGTAATTCTCAGGGTTGCGACCATGAACACCATCAAAACTGTCCTTGACACCATCCAGACGACGATTATCACGATCTACCTCGAGGAAAGTCCTAGTACCCTTTGGGAGTTTGATTTGATCCGATGCGGGAGCTCTTACATATCGTCCATCGTGTATGAGCTTGACATCATCGTCTTTCATGTCCTCCATCTGTTGAGGTTTCGAGGACGTGAAATAATCTTTCCACGATCTTCGAACAATTTGACCCTCCTCGTCTGGTTTTCTTTCATCAAACATGAACCACGTTAGCCTCAGCAATCGAGCACACCGGCGGAACCACCAGCTATACATCGAATGCAAACCATCAGAAGGCTTGAAGAATCTGACTGCCAAAGGCATCAAGAAGTTGTAAAAGAGGAGATCAACAGGGAATTCCAACACCGGCTCGTTTGAGGACCAATGAATTGGAAGAACGCCTTTGAATGAGAATGAAAGTCCCCAGACTACTCCGCCCAAGCAAATAACGACCAGAGCACCGTAAACTAATGCGCTAAATAGGATTTTGCGCAATTGTGTCGTGACACTTCGTTCTAGTACATCACGAACAGGATGAAATGTCGGATCATCGGGGTCACGAATGAAGTCTAATAGTGTTAGCAGTGGTTTATTGATGAAAAGAAGAGTATATTAACTTACGTAAAACTCCCTTTCGCATTATTTTCCGACACATCGACACGAATAAGGCGAAATGAAACATGTAACAAGTGCCGACAAACCAATGTATGAAGATGGAAGTGAGAGGTGACCGGCCAGTAAAACTAAGACGAGACATAATAGTTGCGCCTTCGAACAACGGCAGCAGAGCTGCATCGAGAAGCAAGCCACAATACAAGGGAAATACGAGCATCTCAATACTAATGATGAAAATCACTTTCATCACTCCGCCTGCTTGGTTCAGCATATCAATTACTCCGTTTTCTACATCTCGTACACTCCCCGGCTCTGTTGAAAATGGTGTGCCTCTCTTGACGTAAAGACCGCCTAATATTGCAAGGGTAGCAAAGCCTGCTAGGGTAGCCCACATTCGATCCACACCACCCCAGACGCTTAAGGCTGGATCCAGTGGTGCTAATCGCTTGGGAACTTCTAAACTAATAACCCAAGAATCTGGCCGCGCCAAGAATGTCGGGATCCCCAATACAATGGATGCAATAGCTTTAAAGAGAGAGTCTGTAAGGCTTTTGAAATGAGCGACGGTGAGCTGATAACTCCCCGATAAGAGAAATATGAGACCATTTCCAATGGTCGCGATTATTCCAAACAAGCTGGACTTGATCATCATCAGAGCTTCATGTGAGGCAGCTGAGAAGGTAAATATTTCAGAATCAGCGAGGTGGATGATGCTATCAACCGTGCCGTTCATAACGCGTTCGAAGGCGGCCCGAGAGAATTTAAGACCATCATTTCCTCCTTGAGAGCTAGAAAAAGCCAACAGCCGCAAAGGAACTTGAGCGACAGCAACGAAACAATAATATGACAATCCCAATATTACCAAGGCAGTGTCTTGCACAAAAGCTGCAACCCCAAAGATGAATCGAAGGGGAAGCTTAAATGCTGGTCCCGGGTTTGCCAAGAGGAGGATAGATATCCGGCCAATATTATATGGAATCCAGATAACAATCCCTATGGTAATTCCAAGAAGGAAAGCACTAAAGATGGCGTTCTGTACAAGACCAAACAATGGCCCTCGCATACCAACAAGCTCCATAATACCATCAAAATCTTCAGCGTCTTCAATATCTGCTTCAGGATCTAAGACTGGGGCAATAGCAGCCTCGCGTACTTCAACATCTTCATCAATCTCATCTCCGTGATCAAAAGCATCGCGACGAGCTTGTGCGACTGGTACAAATGGGGCTTCAGCAGCCATATCCTCAACTATATGCTCATCATTCACACCGAGATCTTCCTCCTGTGCAACATCATCGGGTCTGCCCCATAACCAATTCGCGACATTGCCAGCGAGACCTTCGGGTTCTGCTGGTCGACGAGGCGGGAGAATGGGTGCGCGTTGGGGTGGCAGAGGCGTATCTGGAGCAAAATGGTTTTGCTCCGTTTCGTCAAAAGCGTTTTCATTTTCGTCTTCATCTTCTGAAATAGGATTGTTTTCAAAGACTTCTCCCCAGTTGTTTGCGGTGCGAGTTACGCCATCCTCGCCGACTATTTCGAGGGGCCCATCGTCACTCTCGCGGTTACGAACATCCCCAGCGTATAAAGATGATTGAGGAATGTCTTGGCCAACACTTGAATCCGAGGTCACTCCGTGGTGCAAATCTAAATCTTCAGCTGCCTTTCGAGCCATAGAAACCATTTTCTCTTCATTCGGGTTTTTGTTTTCCTGAAACAAGCTGAGATTTGGGTCGGAAAAGTCCTCATCTGGAAGATCAGAGAAGGCCCAATTATTTCGACCCAACGGCGATTTGTCTCGATAATGAGGGACATCTGAGGTAGCTCTGGGTCGGTTTTGAGACAACGGAAGGGGGTGTGGTTCTCGATTGGGAAATGCGGGAGTTCGTCCACCTGAAATCATGGGGTATTTGTTATCTGTTTCGTCCGAATTATCCGAGTCGGAGCTCTTTTCCTTTAGGCACAATTCCGATGCAATATACGATTCGTCCTTTATATCACCATTGGTTGCAACCCGCTTCGAGCTCTGACTAGATTCTCCATTGAAGGTCGAATTGTTTTTGTTTTCAAGCTGGAGGGATTCCGGTACTTCCTCCCAACTGTCCGAGCTGGTACTGCTTTGGTCCGCCCCATTAACCTTGCTGGAGTCAACTGAATGGTTCGTGTTGGCGGGTTGAGGTAGATCTGATGGCCTTGAAATCCTACTTCCACTGGCCAATTCGGCATAATGAAAATTTCCATTTTGCAACCGCAAATTCATGGCATCAACCCAATATTGCATTCGATCTCCGAGATTTTCTTGATCTATTATGTTCAATACCTCTCTAGGATCTCCTCCGGCTCGTCGCCATATAACCGAGAATTGATCAGTGAGCTGAACTTCTGGATCATCAAGATTACGCTGCTGATCGAGGGTTTCCGGTGCAGTTCCAAGATCTTCAAGTTCGGCTGCTGTGATCAGTTCACGATTGAAGTCGAATAGAGGGCGAGGGCGATTTGGATTGTGGATCTCCACAGGCATAGGCACATCCAGCTGAGCAACGGGTCCAGCATTGAGGCCTCGAGCTTCCACTAGACGCTCTCTCTGAATAATTCGAATTCGTTCCTCCATTCGTTCTTGAAGATCATGAACGTCAATTGGCAAGTCTTCTTGAGGAGGTGCACCAGCGGCAGCTATATCCGCATTGAATGCTGCACCCATATTTATGACAGGTTGTTGCTGGACCACCCATTCCCGTATCAAGAAGACAAGAATGAATGTAATCACAATTACCAGAATTATGATGAAGCCCTCGGCAGTATCAAGAATGGCTTGATTCAGCCACGGGAACCTAGTTCCATTGCTTAAAAAAGAGACATTACTGAGAAGCGAATGTCCCTGACTTCCGGATAGGGACACTGTAGTGATACTTCCCGTATTGTTCGTCGAGCCATCTGAAGGTATCGCATGAGTTAGTCCAAATCCGTAATAAAGAGACCTGAAGAAAGCAGATGTGAGAGGGTCCGAACCACTAATATTGAGTGTTTGAGAAACAGGCATCATGATACCCATAAGCTTCTCCATGAAACCCCCAATTCCAATAGATGAAGCTTGACTAGCATTGAGAGGTGTAATTCTTTCTGAAGCTATCCCACTCCAAGTTGAGTTTACAACCCCACGCGAAATTCCCAACCCTTCTGAAGCGGTGTCATTCTGTCTGGAATTGGTTATCAAAATTCGGGCTGGTGTACCCCCATCACTGAACCAGAATAAAAATCGCCATACTTGTCGAATGAAGAATGGCAAACTAATTAGCCAAACCAGAATCACCAGGCCAAACCTTAAATATGTAGCCATATTCTTGATGACATAAAAGGCAAAGTGTTTTAGGAAAACTCGAGTCGGTAACGACTGTGGCATATTGGGCGAGTATAGCTTCGTGAATCGAAAAGGCGTTTTGCAGAGTTCGCAGTGTTTCTTCTGCGAATGCGATAGCCACTCCATTAAGCAATCCTGATGAACGAACTTGATACTCCCACTACATTTGCAAGGATAGAACAGAGGTTCTGTCTCCGTAGCCTCCGCTCTACATATCCTGCAGGTATCTGGATCGCCATTATCATCCACCCCATTTGTTGTATTGGTCGCATATTGAGGATCGTTCATGACATCTGGCGCGGGGTGGTCGTTATGCGTGGAGATGACCCCCGGCGTAGACATATCGAAAGGAACGTGGACAAGGTCGGGAGAACGGGAGGACGAGAAGAGAAGAGATTTATTGGAAGGGCAGATAGAGTCCAAAGCTCGAAGGGTGAAATGCGTGGAAAGCAGTCAATGCCTTTAAGCTAGAAAGTTCGAAGTAGCATGGGAGATTCGGATGTTCCCTCAAAGTGTGGCGTCGTGCCGCTATGTAGTTGTCGGTGGGTGGTCGGTTTGATGGTAATAATTGTCGGAGTTAATGCACAACTTAATTGAAGGAGTGAGGGAGTAGTGAAAGGGGATATCAAAGAGCAGAGGGGTGGGGAATGGAATGAAGTAGATGGTATTACAAATGGCTCTATTTATTATGATGATGTTGAAAAAAAGATATCAATATAAAATAGTGGGTGTGAAAATCGTCAAGTACGTACTGAGTACCTGGATACTTTCTCGAGTATCGTGGATTATGAGTGAAGGTTCCCGGGTTCACAGATAAAATTGGGTGCGGAAGTGATTAATCAGCAAGTTCCATTTGAATTACTAGGAGAGGACTAAATACAGCCCAGCCCTACACTATCCAGATCGTATCTACACAACCGTATAGTCGAGGCACTCTAGAATTGAGTCTTTCCTGGTTTATCTTTCGAGTGCTCGAGTAGAGAGGAATAGAGCTCCTAGAAAGAAACAACTGTTTTGAAGAAGGGGGTTGATCTATGGTTTGTGATTTATTATCGTGCAATGCCATGCACCTACCAGCAGATTGCTATATCCATATATATATATATATATATACACCTACCCAGGCAAGTACCGAGCCACCTATTGGTCCTGGATTGATAACCTTAACACGAGATCGGAATATAAAATAAAATGAACGTTGATCAATTAAATGACGCTCCGCTGGCCCTCTGGGAGCCACTGCCGTGGAGGCAGACTATATGGGAGTGAAGTACCTGTGTACAGGGCAGGTATCTACTATCTAGAGATTTACGGAGAAGATACCATGTTGCAAGCACGGCGCGTTATTCAAATTGTTTGCCCTTCTTGCCCTTCTTGCCCTTGTTGCCCTTGTTGCCCTAACTCATCATGAACTCGGACACTAGGTGTTACGAATAGGGAAATATGTCACGTGCGAGCTTTCGAGATTGAGTGGATGTTCCCACCCATCGAATCGGGCTTGACAGATACTGCGGATGATCTATTTATTTTATTGCGGGGTTGGTCTTTGATCAAGATCTACTCGCTACCTAGGTATTCATACACCTTCCGCTGCTCTGCTTCCATATACGTTTGATCAATGACATGACTTTAAAGTAGCTAGCTCTTATCAATCTTTTATCTCATCTAATCCGCTTTTCGGCCTATCATCGATAGCAGTAGCTCACTCTCTTGATTTCTTGGATTTGTTAGCGAGTCTCGATTCTTTGGAGACTGGGACTGGGACTGGGACTGGGACTGAAAGTTTCTTGATCAGCTAGTTAGCCGTGCTTACCATATGACGACAGAATACCAAGGAGGGAGGCAGTAGTTCATTGTTTTCAACCTCCTCCTCCTCCTCCTCCTCTTGACCTGGCCAACTAATCAGAATGGAGTATCGCTCATCAGTCTCGGGCACTAGACTTCGGTACGGGCTTAGGGTCCAAAAAGCTTCACTAGAAACAAGACGACCAATTTGACATTTGACAGATGGAAGCTTCAATATACCTGCTACCTACACAGGACAGGTACCTGGTAGCAACCTATGATGAGAAATCGAATAAAGAGGAAAATGTAAATAATCATTCCAACTTCTACCAACAGAACAACGAACAACCAACAGGTGCAATAAAATTTAGTTCGTTTGTATTATTCTGCAAATACTCCTTACACCAAAAAAAATCCATATATTTTATCCAGCCTCTTTAAGATTCTCTTCTATCTTCCTTCTTTCACCACCTTTGTTTTGTCGTCATCAATCAGACACAGATAGCGATAGAAACAATTCTTGGCATACATCAGATCTTGGAAATCCTACTTTGTGCTTTTTTTGTTCCAGTTAAATCTAGAGGGAAATCACCACCACCACCATTTCTTTTTCGGCAAGCTCTCCCACTTTACTGCTTATATCATTGTTACATTTCTACCACCTTGAGAAAACCCTTCACCAATCACAAAAAATATATCACATTGATAGTAACGAAGGGTTTTCGACAAAATCTACGTGCTGTAGAAGAAGATGGCAGCAGGTAGTAATGGAAAGGTGGTGGAAGCCAAACAAAATGGTTTAAATGGCCACACCAAGGCTGTTCCCACTTCGCCGGCAGCAAAGAGCGAAAAGAAGATCAAGAGGAAGAGCTCCGGATTCTTCAGTTTCGGTACTATTACACGGTATGCCATACACGTCTATTGTTTTCCATGCCACTGTCAATTACTAATGAAGCTTCAGGATCTTAACATGGTACTCGATAATTACAATCTTTCTACGATGTCCTGCGAGCCTCGACCTCGTTACAGATACCACTCCTCAAATCTGCAAACCATATTTTCAACTACGATCTGTATTGGTTCCTCATCTCGAACCATATTACAATTCATATGCCGCACCATATGTGAATGCTGCAAAGCCTTATTATCATTCCGTCGACCAGAAAATCATTGCACCTGTAACTGCTCTTGGTATGAAATATGGTGCACCAAGAGTGGCACAGGCACAAGCATATGGTAAAGCTCAATGGGACAGAACTTTACAACCAGAGGTTTCAAAATATCAGAGTCTTGCGAAGGCCAAATACGATCAAACATTGGCTCCACATTGGAACAAAGTCACTGCTGCTAGTGGACCATACCTTGATCTGGCCAAAACAAATGCTGCGCAGACATATCATGAACACATCGTTCCGACTTTCAATATTGTACAGCCATATGCCATTCAGGGCTATGGATACGCAAACGAGTTTGTTGTAGGCACTGGAGTTCCATATACAAAGTGGGCCTTGACTTCGACTGGGGTATTTTTGGATAGAAAGGTCTGGCCCAAATTGAGAATCTTGTATGGTGAGAACGTAGAACCACAATTAGTACGAATTGGAGAGAGACTAGGTAGATATAGGGATGGCAAAAGATTACAGGCTGTGGTAGACAGCGTTGATTCGTGAGTCAGTTAGATGTATCTATTAGATTTTAGCTTACGCAGATTCAGTTCCTCGTCTGCTTCCTTTGCCTCTTCCACATTTTCATCAATATCTTCGTCCATCTCATCCGCGCACGCTACAAGTGCATCCTCGACCTCCATCCCTTCATCAGTTTCCACTTCCTCTACCGAATCACCAGAAAAGACCCCTTTAAGTGAAGATGAGATTAGAGAACATGCTCGAAACGTTGTTGCAAAAGATTTAACAACCTGGCAAGAAAAATTCTCCAAGGCCGCAGATGAAGGTTCCGACGAAATCGATGAGAGAGTGACTGAGATCACCGAGAGATTGGTTCAAAATCAAGCCAACAAAGTAGGATCTGCACTACTCATCGAATTGGAGGAGGCTATTAAGTCGAATCTCGAGTCGCTCAAGTCTACTATAATTTCGATCGTCAACGCCAAGAAAGATACCGAAGAATCTGAAGAATCGCTCAACACTGCTGTCCGAAAAGCAGGAGTTGCAATTAAGGAAAAGGCCCAAGCCGTCCGGACTTGGCGACAAAACTTTGATTCAGAGACCAACTCACTTATTGGAAAATCGGTCAAAGATACGTTTGATATCATTGATCATATAAGGGACTTGGGTTTGCAAGAAATCGGAATGCGATGGGCCTGGACCGATGGAATTACCCATAAAGATTGGACCAAATATCATGCGTTGAAGAGTAAATTTGAAGAATGGCGACTTGATGTTGAGAAAGTCGTCACTGATCATCCTGGTCTTGCGAAAGCTCGAGCAGCCTCGGAAGACGTGGAGAGTAAAGCAATGGGTCTTGCTGGAGATGCAGCAGCTGAATTATCTCGCATCAAGGAAACTGGTAAATGGAAGATATCAACAGGCGATTCCAGCGAAGATTTCAGCACTAAATATGTGCCACCCGCAGTTGAAGTCGCTGGCCAGAAGGTCATAGAAAAGATCAATGAGGCCGCTGATGCTATGGCCGGCACCACACAAGGAACTCTAGAATCTGTCTCGTCAGTAGCTAGTCAGGCGGCTTCATCCATCTCTTCTAGTGTTATTGGCACACCCCAAGGACGTATTGAAAGTGTTAGCTCCGTTGTTGGTGAAAGAGTCGGTAGTGTCTCGCAGCAAGTATCATCATCTATCATTGGCGAGCAACCGGGAGTTGTTAGCCAAGCTTCAAGCAGTGTCCAATCTGCAGGCTCTGCTATTTCTAGTTCTGCTTCCAGTCTTTCAGATGCCGCAAGTTCATCGATATCATCCATCAGCAGTGTAATTTCCGATGAAGCTTCAACGGTATCCAAATCTCTTGAGTCAGCATCATCGTCTATTGCCAGTTCGTTATCAAAGAGTGCAACCGATGCTACCAGCTCCCTGAGCTCATCTGCCTCGGTCGCTTCGAGTACAGCATCCAAGAAAGTCTGGGGTGGAGCAATGGCTGCTCACGTTGAGGCACGACAAATCATTTTTGATGATGTCATTGATGATTCTGACGAAGAAACTTACAGTGAGAAAATACAAAGTATGGCAAGCGTGGCTGGGGATCAATTCAGTGACATGACAAGAGCAGTCAGCGAAGCATTGTTGAGACCAACTAGTAAACAAGGATCGGTGGAGAGTGTAACTAAGCTCGCTGCTGAGCAATATTCTAGCGCTTTGTCTGCCGCAAGTTCGGTTCTATACGGAACGCAACAAGGAACTGGTGAAAGTGTTGCTAGTGTTGCCACAAGTCGATATGCTGATGCCGTTGCTGCGTAAGTTGTTCAATTATCACTCACTATCGTTCTCAAATCCACTGACATTGAATAGTGCAAGCTCCATCATTTATGGCACACCTGCACCAAAGCTGGACTCCGCCGCAAGTTCGGCTAAGTCAGTCTACAGCGA